TAATTGCTTTGTGCTTAAGCAGTAATGACAAGGATACCTCAGCTCCACCTTTGAAAATCAGAGAGATTCAGAGTTGCAAGAGGGCCATACCGCTCATCAGCTGCTATTAACTTACAACAGGATGAGGAGAAACAGATTTTGTAATGATTTTTTTCTCTCCTTGAAACCCTTCTTCTCTCTGGATGGCAGTTACTTGCAGAAGGATACCAACAGTCACTACTTTTTTACTCCACGAAAACAAAACAGAAATGCAAGTTTTTGACTGTTGCACATTCAACTGAAAAGGGAAATAAAATTACTGTGGTATATAGCTACATCTTACAGATTGATTCCGAGGAAAGATGGGAACTGGACTGGCAGAGCAAACAGCCCCGTTGCTCTCCTGTGCGCACAGCTCTGCTGGTGTCTCACGTCTGAGCCTGACATGGGTGTCACAAATTCCTGCCTGGTAGAAATGGAACAGACAGCAAATCACTCTGAGCCCAAACCACCCCCTGTAGATCCCAGGGGGTGTTGTTTGAGACAGGAGGGGAAATCGGGTGTGGGGGGAGACAGCTCTGTGCGTGGGACAGGGGAGATGTCTCCTTTTCCTCTTTCTTAAGCCACAGCCCCATGATTTCTGGGTACAGCTGTAACAACAGCCCTGTTTTGTACCACAGCTCCCTGACAGCGAGAAGCTGGTGCAGCAGAGGGTCAGACTGCACCAGGATTCAAGGATACAAACTCCTACAGAGCACAGTAAATGGTGTAACGCAGTGCTCTGAGTGCTCAGATAGTGTTTTTCCTCTATGCAATAGTGGTCTGGGACCTAATTTGTATAACAAGCTATTTAAGAGGGAAGCTAATTGAAGTATATAAATCCTGAAGAATATCACGTCAAGCCAAGATACTATTATTAGCCCAACCTAGATGAGGTTATAGAAGTGCATTAAAAAACCTCAATAAAAAAATTAGTAGGAAACATTCCCCACTTCAAGATCCCACGAGACAAATTCTCTCAAGCAATAGTATTATCCAGAATAATAAAAAAAGAATACTAAAAATGGAAGGCAGAAAAAGCACCAAGTTCACTCAAGTGGGTCACAACTTGTTCCTAATGCTCACTGTCAGTATGTTATAGAGCTAAGAGATCACAGCCAACTAACAGAGTGGCAGCTGAAAGTAAAATTTAAACTGTAATTCTGCAACAAAATTAATTTTTTTGTTAATTACATGCTACTTATTGCAAAAGGTTGATGTAAAGTTAACTGACCCAGAAGCATTTTCAGCAGTGTCCTCTAATAAACTCTGGTCTTCTTCTTCCATTACCTGTCCTAAGGATATTGAACTGCCCCCTCTGCCAGCTTTTACCAATCCTGCCAAAGACAGGAGTGTTTATGGGCATTTCCATCCTTGTGATAGGATGGGATTGGAGAGCACAGATGCACACGGTCTCTGTTCCAGTCATCACAACCCATGAGGAATACGTGGTTGTGGACAGAAAACCACCATTGAGAAACTAAAGCAAAAAGGTAAAAAACAAACAAACAAACAAAAAACAGAGAAAGGAAAAGGAAAAAAGGAAGAATGAGAAGTGTGTGCAATGAAGAAAGGAGAAAGAGGTGAAGTGGGGCAAGGGAAGCACCAACAAGCACCACACACTATTTCTGACCCTGGAAATTAAGTCCATAACCCTGGAAAGAAACAGGTTAAGTGTAACTTTGTGCCCATAGAACACCCATTTCACTTTAAAGAATCAATACCTTAGGAAAAAAGCACAATCAAGCTACATGAAGAAACAACAGCTTTAACTTAGTTGTTTACACTTGCACGCCCTGTAGAGCACATCTACTTTGAAGAGTTCCCCCTCTAATTTTTAAGCTCAAGCCTCATTTGGAAAAGCAAAAACAGATCTTACTGAAGGATTTCTTGGGTCAACTTCCCTAAAGCCAGATTTAGGGCGACCTGAACATACGCCTTAACAAGGAAGAGAGTTTTGTATTTCTTTGAGAGATAATTCTTTGTGCCACGCTGCCACTCCACCCTACAGAGTACATCTACTTGAAGAGTTCCCCCTCTAATTTTTAAGCTCAAGCCTCATTTGGAAAAGCAAAAACAGATCTTACTGAAGGATTTCTTGGGTCAACTTCCCTAAAGCCAGATTTAGGGCGACCTGAACATACGCCTTAACAAGGAAGAGAGTTTTGTATTTCTTTGAGAGATAATTCTTTGTGCCACGCTGCCACTCAGGACGAGACTGTTACATTCCCTGTTCCACACTGAGTATTTCCTACGCTGTTCAAGATGTGGTACCTTCCAGCTCCAGCAATATGAATATATATCTGTGCTTTACCAAGGTGAGAGAAATGCAGCTCAATTACATTAGGACAGATGTAGGAGACATCTGTATTTATTCAGCCTCAGGTAGGCAGCATCCCCCGGATAAGGCAGTGTCTGAATGCAAGTGTTACACTCCAGGTGCACTCTGTACCTCTGCTGTGGAGACTCTGTAAAAGCAGTTCATTATTCCAGTGTCTTTTTGGCGATATTTTGTCTCATTTTTTTTTGTGGTAGGACTAGAAATGCACAGGAAAGCATTCTTCCAGCCTCCTGGAACCTGAAGTTGTGGTGAAACAGGATTAAAAAAAGCCCAACCCTACGCTTCACGTCTTGTTTGTAGCCTGTCATCATCTCCTTTTCTTGAAATAATGGTTTGCCTCCCTCTGGCTTTTGGGTTGCTCTTCAGAATACGGTATAAACTCTTATTATTCCATACCCACTCTCTGAGAAGCAGGTAACGGGTAGTTATGCCCATACACCAACCTTCACACAGCCTCGTGCACAAACGAACCAGACTAATTTCAGGTCCACAAAAATAAAATGCTGTCTTTGCCTTAAAGCCTCTTGCCTTTCCACAGGTCTTGAAGAACTAAGGGACACAAACAGAATTATCAGCAATATTTTTCCTTCACACCCCTTTCCTGTGAGTAAACAATGCAAATCCTTCACCTCCAACTGTAAGTTTTACCTCCGACTGTGAGCATCAGCCAGTGCTGTTCTGCAGAACAGCTTCCCAGAGAAAGCTCAGGTATAAAGTCTACCTCCAACTGTAAGTTTTATCAGAGCATCAGCCAGTGCTGTTCTCCAGAAGAGCTTCCCAGAGAAAGCTCAGGTATAAAGTCAAAGGAAAGGCCAGTTTCCATTTTCAGGATAAAACAGTCACTTACTTAAAGACAATCCAGGAAACCTGATTCAGCTATACCTCATGTAAAGTACGAGGTTATTGGACTAAGTGCACAAGAAGTATTTCTTCACTTAAGGGCAGGTGATTTTTTACATTGAACAGCTGTAAATATATTTGAGAAAAAAAAAGGTTCTGTTGAAGATTATCTTTTTCCGTTTGTAACTCAGAGTAAACTCATAAATCTTGGCTGGGCTTTTAATTCACTGCAAAGCACACACATGTACGTATGTGTACACATACATAACATCTAATCCAGTCTTTACACTGAACTTGGCCAGCCAATACCCTTCGAAATAAAAAATACACATACACAAAATGCTAAGCTATACCTCATGTAAAGTACGAGGTTATTGGACCAAGTTCACAAGAAGTATTTCTTCTCTTAAGGGCAGGTGATTTTTTACATTAAACAGCTGTAAATATATTTGAGAAAGAAAAAAAGGTTCTGTTGAAGATTATCTTTTTCCGTTTGTAACTCAGAGTAAACTCATAAATCTTGGCTGGGCTTTTAATTCACTGCAAAGCACACACATGTACGTATGTGTACACATACATAACATCTAATCCAGTCTTTACACTGAACTTGGCCAGCCAATACCCTTCGAAATAAAAAATACACATACACAAAATGCTAAATCCCAAATAACTCTTTAAAAATGCAAGTAACATTGTCCCCTTAGATTGTCTCATTGAGAATGAGGTTAGACTGCAATCATTCACCATCTTCATTTATTCTCCATAAATAATAAAGCAAAGTTATTCAACTTAGGAAGAGCAGTCTCACCCTCGCAGAAGACATAACCTGGACATTTTTAATGTCACCAAAAAAAAAGCCAACCAACCAATGCAAATTTTATTTCCATGTCAGTACACCAATAAAAAGCTTAGCAAGCTGACTTACAGGGAAAGGTAGAGGGCAATGTCCAACACTGACTAAACTGAACGGGCCAGTGATTCAGTAGGTTCAGGCACTGACATTTTTAATACTGATAAAAATATTTTTATGTAAGCTGAATGCCAGAGACCTGATGTACTTCAAAGGAGCACTTACAATTTTGGTATTGGCCCACTAGAGCACAGCAGTTACACAGAACATTTATTTATAGCTATTCCCACTAACATCGTGTTACCAAAAAAAAAAAGCTTTGGTTTATGTTCATAGTGTAAAGATGAAAAACATAAGAGCAATGGAAAAACACACTAAGCAAGACTTTGTTATCCTTACAACACGTAGCTCTCTTCATACTCTTGTTCGCAGCAGACGTCACCTTGTTCTCAGGAAGCCTGGGAGCACAGGCAGCTGCCACACGTCTGCCTCCTCACGGTCCCTTTGCTGCACAATAGCAGATCCCAACACTGATTAACACTATGGAAATGCAGCGAAACTTCACTCTGCTTAAGTTTCTAGTTTAAGGAGACTAGGCAAAAACCATCCTCAAAGGGAAAAATGGTTGCCTGATATTTCATTTGTCCACAGATACGCAAGTGAACACAAAATGTTTGGTGTTAACATTATATTGACTGTCATAAAAACATAAAACCCAACACTATTTTCCATCTAAAACTCATTTTAAATCTGGAACCAAAGTGAACAACCCTCCCCCCAAAACCCCTAACCAAACAAAACCCCCCAACCTGTAACAGTCTCTGCCATTCCGTACGGACGTTGTCAGATTTCCAGTTTCTCTAGGATTTCCTCATCTCTACGATGTGCTAAGCGTCATGTTCTTCAGAAAACACAAGGAAGCAAAGCAGTCTGAACTCAGGGAAACAAGAGTTTGGAGACGAAGCAAATTTATTGTTCCAAATGTTGTAATTAGGGAGTATTTTAAATCAACAGCCACACACCTTATGAAAATCCAGCTAGTATGACCAAACAAATCCAGGCAATCCTTAAATAAGTGCCAAAGCTATTGTAACACGGTACGTGTCTCACAGAGCCTCGTAGGAAACCCACGGATTAGAAAAGCGAGGACGCCCTCTGCATCAAGGACAGGCAGAGAACAGCATCACTGAGGTACTAGTTCCATTTCTTTCAGGCAAATTTCTGCATAGATATCTAAGGTTAAGGAGTTCCCACATTTCTCTGAACAGCTTTTATCAGAAGATAACAGAATGAAAATACATTGTATTTGAACCAAAGAGCAGCATATTAGACATGCACTGGTAGAAAACATCCTGTGTGCAATCTGAGCTGTTAGAAAGTACCATACACAGCTTTGGATGTTCATCTAAAAGCATACTGAATTTGACTTCATTTTTTGTAGAGAAGAGTCTACGTGGTCGTATTCATAAAACTGGAATTCTCAACATTCGGCTGTGGTGGGTATAACACGGACATAGACTGTCTTCGTGTTCAGGTTCTTCATGGAGATGTCCTTTGTGATCTCTGAAGCAAGAAAACAAGAGAGAAACAGGACACAGTTAGTGCTCTTGCTTACAGGTAAAATTATGAATGCTTGTTTTTCTTTATTCACAGTTCTGCTGGTTGTATCCAAATGGGACTAGGACAGAATCTGCTCAGCTCAGTAACATGGGCTGTGTTAGAGGATGGGCAACCACACCTCAGGATTGCCACCACAGGAGCTGGAGATGCTGTTCCAGGTTACAAAATTAGAACTTTTTGAAAGCCTGTGTCAGCCCCCAGCTCCCAGCTCCACATCCACATGGAATAACATCTAGTACAGAACATTATTTCATAATGCAATAATATGGAGTCAATATTAACAATACAAGAAGAATTTCATACCATACCAGATCAATTCCTTAAGAATTTTCATAGCTATATGTATATAATTTGAAACAGTAATAGGGTAAAGTCTCGCCAACAAACCTCTTTTAAGAGCATAATGTATTTCCAACAGGCTGATTAATGGTTTATAATTATTTACGAAACACATAACACAATAACTGCGCTTTGTGGCTTCAGAAAAAGTCACCTGCAAAGTTGCTAAGAAGTGGAAATCTCTTTCCCTGCTCCTGCCACCTTTCAGAGCACTTTTCTCAGGAAGCAAGATGTTCTCCAGCTCACCGCTTCCCAGCACAAGGCAGCCCCACCATTTGTTATACTGGGAGGCAGAGCTTTGGAACAAAATTCATCTGAATAACAAATATACTGGAGGTCTCTCCACTAAGAAACTTCAAAGAAGCAGTAACCACAAATAGATGCATGGAAACCAAAGCAGAAGCGTACCGGGGGTTACGGTGTTACTCTGCACACCAGAATCCCTACAGACAACTCCTGCAAATAAAGGATAATTTTAAATTTTGGCACCAGCGTTAGCACAAATGACAGATTAATAACATTCCCAAGGGCTGGGTGTTTTTTCAGTAGAAACAGTTTTGTGGTGTCCTGCAGTGTATCCCGGCCCTGACGGCTGCTCTACCGTGGGCTCTCCTCCAGCCCAGAGACCGAGGCACCGCGTGGGTGGAGGGGGCCGGGGCTGAAGCTCATCCGTGGAGAGCACAGAAAAGCAGTTTAAGTTTTCAGTAACACGATGTCCAAGTGAAAACTGATTCTAGAAATGGCAACGAGTTTTGTTTCCATGTAAGATTATGCACAAGCCTGACATTAAGGCCCCCATCGTTCTTTGAAAAATATTTTTAGACTGAGCAGATACAGTCTGCATCGAAGTTTAAAAGCCATCTATTAATTAAAGAATTAAGAAGCACTTATGGAATATGATGGTACTGGTTTTAAGGAGTTCTCTTCCAGTGTAGTGCCCTGCTTTACGCAGCTGAATGCCCATCTACAGAGCTAAGAGAGTGGAGGTATAATCCAATTCAGCAATTAGGGCTTTATTCCCTCATTAACCTTCCTTCCCTCCCCAAGAAAATGTTACATCAGTACATAAAAAAGTTCTTTTGGTCTGCAGAAGCAGCTGAACAAATTATGAACTTAGTCTCAAAGTCTTTTTTATTTTTAAAATCCTGAAGAATTAGGAACTACATGAAGCTACTATTTTCAACACTATTTAAGAGAATAATTACTATCAGAATTGGAAACCTGGTTTAGCAGGAAAATGTAGGGACACCCCCCTTTCTGTGCCAACTCCTCCAAAGGAAGGCTTTGACCACAGCACAATAAAAAGTATTGCCTGCATCCTGAAGGTGGCTCTGAATCAGGTACCTGTAACACGGTTCATGAAGGAGCCACACTCACCCCTTTGGCATTTATTTATAGAGTGTTTTTCCAATATTCCAAAGGGGAGTGAAACACCCATTTGTTTCTGAAAAGCTGGAAGCCTTTGCGCCATAGAGAGCAGGTGCCCAACTGCCTGCACCTGACATTTGTAAAAATAATACTTTCAACACTGATAACTCATTTTCCTCCAAGGGATTTTTTTTTTTTCTTTTCTTTCTATAAAAACAGGCATCACACTTCTAATTCATGGCTTATTTTCAAACTTTTCAAATGCTTAACAGCAAATAACTTGATTTTTAGAATAGACCATAACAAAAGAAACTTCAAGAAAAGAGACTGAACTTCTTGTTTTGAATGAAAGACCTTGAAATATATTGGTAAAAAGATAAGGAGATTATGAAGTTGAAACAATATATTCATTGAACTATGTTGCATTTATGCAACATAAACATTCATTGAACTAATGTTTTCCAGAGGCTTCAAAATCCTTGTTTTATATGCAGCACTTATTTATCATATAAAGAGATCTACAGATAAAGTATGACCATTCCAGTGTTTATACCATTAAAATATGTTGTTAAAAGAGCTGCATGGTGAGAATTAAATCTGGGACTGCAGAAGCACAGCTATATGGGCATAAACATTTATTAGCTACACAAATAAACCTCCAGGACCAAGTTCTCTACGTTCTGAGCCTAAAAAAGACCAACCCAGTTGTTTTAGCCTTTGAAGACTTATCAAATCTGATCTGTCACATCATTGCAAATTGTCACTTTATACACTTTATTTAAAGTTTAAATAGTTCCGGAGAATTCACCCTACAAATATGTTATAGCAATTTCCCTTTTAGGTAAAGGCATTCTAAAAATCTGTACTTCAATTGAGACTTCAAGGCTGTAAATTTTCCTCTTTTGTCAGTCACTTCCCTCTTTCAAAGCTCTGAAGTTTTCCCCAAGAGCTATTTTAGTATCTCAACCAAGTCCCACGCTGCTGGGAACCCCTGCTGCCCCGCAGCAACGAAAGACACCGAAAAAGAAATAGGTATGACATCAGCTGCTCCTGAACAGCTCCATTCCTCCTCTGCAAGGTTTTGCACAAATACATGTTTTGTTTATGCACACGAAGTGTGGTTGATACACTCGGCTCTTACACCTTGGGCCGTTTCTAAACACTGCAGTCTCCAGCTCTCTGTGTTTGTTAACACCATTCAGCACGTTATTTTTAGCACTAGCTTAAACTATCCCTCGAAAGTCTCAACATTTGAGATCCATTTTACTTACAGAAATGACTCTTGAATAAACAGGGTTCAGGTCACATGAAATTAAAAAAAACAACCCCACAAAACAACCAAAAATCCACAACAGAAGAAGTCAGAGCGTATTTGCTCTGGCTCTGATCTGTCCCACTTGAATCCCTTGAGCCCAGGTGGAGCCAAGTGACCTCAGTTTTCGGCAGCTACACTAGAGAGTGACACTCCTTCCCTGGTCAGCTCCCAAGGGAATCCATCCCAGCCTAGGATTCCATAACTAGGATAAACGAGACATCTAACTTCTGGACAGGTAACCCAACGTGTGACAAATCAAGGTGAAGTGTTATGTATCCCTCCCAAACAGCTTGTAAATCATGTCACTGTGAGAAACTGGAGACAGAATTCTCTGCATCATTTCCTTTGAAGAGCTGAATCTCCCTGAACACACAGAAATACCTGTGGTTTGTTTTTTTTACCATGTAGTTTCCAATCCATTCTTCCTGTCAAAGTCCCAAATCTTTCTCGGATCCAACTTCTTAGCACTACAGGTGGTTACAATCTTTACTCTTATCTTTCTCATGAATCAGAGATTTTTGTTTTTAAGCTTCACCATCTGTCTGTGGCTCTGGAAGATCCTTTAACGTTTCAGATCCGTGACTGTGTGATAAAGCTTCCTACTCGCCAGGTATCTGAATGAGCTGCAGCTGCCGCACCCTGCCCAGCCTGACCTACTCACACAGAAATAAAATAGATCCCATACTCTTTTCCACCCACTCCCACTCTCCAAAAGGAAGGAAAAAAAATAATTATCTGTAACAATATGAATCTTACAGGGACAATTTGAACAGGTTCTTAAAATAGTTACGCTTTAGACTCGCTCTCTTCTAGGAGGAGATTCACTCCCTGCTCAGTCCCAGCATCACATCGCTGACCGACCTTTCCATTTCAAAAGGAAGAAACTTTTACAGAACTTGCCGTGGCCATTTCTTGAAGGGAATACATTACAGCTTTGAATTTCTAAATGTGTGTGCTTAAAGGATTTTAGTAAATAAATATTGAATTACTGGGCAAAATTAGAAAGCAATATGTAAATTTGATCTCAGGCTACACTAACTGCTCCTCAACAAAAACTTCCAAGTATCCTTGGACCAGCAAACCAAAAGTTTGTGCTTACCCTGAGTTTGTGCTTCATCCAGGAACAATTTTAGCCTCCTGCTTCTGAGCCCAAAAACTTTTGCTGTTTCATGTAGAAGACCCTGGAATGTTAATCCGTTCTGACCAACAGGGTTTTCCATTAGGAGAGTTCCCACTGTTCCTTTCTGACATTCTGAACAAGACAAACAGTTGGTGAGGAATTACATTATTTCATTTATCTTGGTAAACTGAAATTTAGGATTTCTTCTTCCATTTCATTTCTATTATTTCATAGTGCTGAGAAATTACCAATACCAACCTATTTACAGACATTCAGTAAATAAGGTCATGAATTATAGAATCAGAAGTAGAAGCGATTACACAGACAAAAGACAACTTTGCAGAATTTTTTACATGAGTCAACAGGATAACCTAGAGACTGGGAAACACAAAATATTTCAACAGGACACACAAACCACTACAAACCACAGAAGCTCACAAAGCACCTTTTGATTATCTGAATTCCCAGTTAAAAACACATAGTTGGCCCAAGTAAGTTCCCAGTAGTGCCAGTAAGATTCCACATGGAGAATCCAGAAAGGATTTGTACCAGGGCAGAGATTAAAAGCAAGCGAGTAACGGCAACGGTCCCAACGTGAGGGTTCAGAGGAGAAGCTACAAGATTAGTGGCTGAGAAAGAGAATTGCATACACCTATCTATGCTCCAGATCAGGTTAATAACACAATCCATTTGGCTTTTCAATAGCACTGAGAAATGTTTCACAGGCTGTTCACAATGTCCTGGTAAAGAGCTGGGTCCTCCTTTGCTTCTGGTCAGTTTGAGCCTCAGCCTTTTGAAACAAGCTGCTGAGGTGAGCTGATGGTCAGAGAGAGGAGAACAATGCCCAAGGGCTCATGTTTAAATGCTGGCCCTTATCTCAAACCAGCTCTCCTGGGGAGGGAGAAAAGCTAAATATAAACATTGTATTTATTAGAAAGCAAATACTAGGGGGGGAAAAAAAAAACCAACAGAATCTCCATCTCCATCTTCATCAGTAAGTGATGTGTTTTGTGCCCAAAACTTACAGCACAAAGAGCTCTGGCTGTAAATGAGGAGAGCTGAGTATCCTACGTACCCTGTGGTTTTGCATTCATGAGCTGCAAGTTGATATACTGGCAGAGCAGCGCGTCGGGGGAGCTGAGCAGCGCAGGTGCTGACCCCGTTGTCACATGTAGAGTCTTTCCGCTGAGACTGAGCAAGTCGGTTTTGTTTATCAGCTCTGGAAAAGAAAATGAGACCGGTCAGGCCATTACAGGGTCCAGTTCTCACTCCATTAGCTGACAATGAGGCTTTCTAACTACTGGTTCCACTGCGGAAGAGTTTCCCTCTTCCCAATCCCTTCCCTCGAGAAAGAGCATTTCCTCTCTTTTGAAAAATCAAATTTGTGCGAAAATACTTTGTTTTTTTAACACGGAGTACTTCGTCTGCTGTGGAAATTAGCTCCTACGTGCCATTTCTTACACACATAAATACAGGATGCGATTACCTATGCAATAAAAATAGTTAAATAACTTAAAACAAGCAAGAACTTATTCCCTTAAGCCAACCATTTCCACCTCATGAAATTAAGACCAACAATCTTTGCCTCCACCCCAACTTCCCCACCTGAAGCAGCACTGGCTGTGTGACTGTGCAACATCAGGACATTGCCCTCATTAAACTCCAGAGGAGAATAAATGTAAAATCAGTAGCTGTTAGTTCCTGAATAATGCCCTCTGCATTAATATTTGCGTTTAATTTTTTAAATTTAATATTTAATGACAAGAATAGCTGCTGATTCAGCAGGTGGCTCCGGCCATGCGTATTTGGAAAACGGTGGAAGACCAGACCCACATCTCAAAGGATTGTAGAAGTATTACCAGCACCCTAAAAGTACTCAGATGAGAAGCTAACGAGGTTTCTGTAATAGAAATGAAATATGTAGGGCCCCTTTCTGTACTACTTCCATGAGCAGCTGCCTGCTTATCACAGAGGTAAAAAAAGCTGCCGATAGCCACAACATTAAAGGTACAGAGAAATAACATCACTCTCCACGACAAAGCTTTTGCAGCTACAGAAGAACTCCAAAGACCAAATCCAGGAAGAATTAACAAATGTAATTTCTTGTAAGAATTGTGCATTGCCTGTGCCTATGGAACAGGCACATCTGTCATCTTTTTTCAACAGGTTTTTCATTCCGTGTCAGCCCTACTTGCGTGTCACGGAGCCTCAGCTTTACAAAGCTTATTCTCCACCAGTTCATCTGAACCAGTTTTGAAGAGGCAGCAGTAGCACTCCCTTTTTCCAGGGATGTTTATAAACTTAAAAATGAAACACACATCCCTCGCAAAAAAAACCCCCACACCACTCCACAAAAACACCCAAACAACAAAAACAATCACAACAAAGCCCCAAAAAGCCCAAACCCCCTGCTAAGGTGAAAAGTAATCACAGGCTACAAGCTCTCCAGATTTTGTCAGCTGCCACAGAACACGTAAGGGTGATGCACTGTGGAAGACATATGAGACTGGAAGGAAGGACAAAACCCTCAGATGCATCTAAGATTCTAAAATGCTACTTGAAAGAAAAAGGCAAAGCTTCATTGCTGCTTCTGAAATCCATTTTTCAAGGATGAAGCATTTATGATGAGAGTGGCCCATCCTCCAGCTCCCCAAACCCTTCCTTGGTACGTCTGAGGTGCAGGCAACGCACGAGCACAGGAGGGGGCTTTGCGTTTGGTTTTACTTACAGGAAAGCATGAAAAAAAATCACTAAATTACCAAGTGGAGAGGAATTAACAAGATTTCATCACACGGGAAGGGAGCCAGCAGCAGGTTTTTCCTAGCGTGACCCTAAAGCAGCTTTGCTCCCACCTCCATACGCCTCATGGGCAGGGCCAGCACCAGCGAGCAGGGGCTTCACAGGGCTAGAAACCCACAGCTCAGGGAACATGCAGCCATTTCATATAGCCCTCTAATAAGAGCAAGAGAAAGAAAAAAGTGGATCCTTTTTTTTTCATATATAATAATACACTCAAAAACAAGCAGATATTGCAAGTGCTCATCAATATTAAAATCACTTTTAAAGTCAGTTCTCCCTGCAGCCGAGATTGAAGTGGTAACGCTCTCCTAAGGTGCCTTACAGCCTCATGGCCTTTTAAAAATTTAAGATTAAAAAAAAAATAAAATCTTTTTGTACTCCTCTTCAGAAAACAGTGCTGAGAATAGAATTTAAAAAAAATAATAAATAGCCAGCTGAAAATCATGAAGATGAAATAAAACAAGGACTAAGAAGTTTGTAGGGTGATTTTTGCCTCACCTTCCTTCCCTCCTGCTCTTCTCAATCCTATATGATTTACAGCTTCATTTATTCCCATAAAGATAAATTAATTGCATTTTTTTTTACATAGGTCTTTTTCAGTATGGGCTACTTCCATGGAAGTTAAAGAGAACGCCCAATAGAAAGTTTACAAAGTTTTCAGCTCAAATTGCATTTTTTTGTACATAGGTCTTTTTCAGTACGGGCTACTTCCATGGAAGCCAAGTGGAAGTCAAAGAGAACGCCCAATAGAAAGTTTACAAAGTTTTCAGCTTTTCAGCAATCTAGAGCAAAAAAGAATAGTCACAGACAACTGGTTTTATTATCTGACCTGAGCTCAGCCTCTTTCCTTTCAATGATTAATATTTTTTTTTAATGTGAAAAGAGACAAATTCTATTCTCAGTTTCTGAAGGTCAGTACAAATCCCAGAGCTTTGCTCAGTTCTCTTGCAGTTACTGAAAATACACGGATACACTGTTGGGGAGGAAACGTTTATCCCATTATTTCAACGTTGCACTGGGAAGCTGGGCCGTGACATATTTTAGCCTCCCTTAAATACAAGAACTGCCTGATTTTGTGCCATTACACAACCCCAAGTAAATCTTCATTACAATTAGAAAACAAGATAATAAATTACCGCAAGTAAAGTGGACAGCCCTAAAAACCACAGGAAGGAAAATAAGGAGCCAGAAATATGGTTTTACTGGGTCACAATTTTATTAACACCCCCGGGAACGATTCAGCAACAATTCCCCCGGAGTGCAAGACCTTTCTCTGCAGCTCAGACCAAACCCCTGGAGAGACCCTGGAACCACCACCAGGCCTCACCTGGCATAACCCGAGCGAAGGTTGGGCAGATAAAGCAAAGGGATTGAATCCAAACCAAACACGGGGAATTTCAGTTCTATTCTCTAACATCTTTAAGAGCTACTTTCTTTGTGCTCGCCTTCAACCTCGGCTCCTCGGGGAGCCGTATCTTCTGTTGATCAATACTTATTTGAGATCTCTGCCAAATTGCAACAAAAGCGAATTTGATAAACTAATCTTTCCAAGGGAATTTTCATGTTGTTAATAAGCGGGCAGGGAAAAAAGCCCGCTCTGCCCAGACCACTTAACAAAGAGCGAAAGATTAAAGCCGGCGTGCCAAGATGGAAAGTCCCAAAGTGATACCTACACAGCCAAGGCAACACGGAATGGAAAGAAATAAAGCCTTTGTTACTACAGCAGAAAAGAATCTTTGAGGACAAGGGGAGGCTTAGATTTTCTTTACCACCTCCTTTAGGAATTCAGCATTAATAGATTTATGCCGCATCTTTTTGTCCTGTCAGTGGCAGAAAACAAACCAAATAAGGGATCAAATTGATTATAATCTTAATGAGAGTTTCCCCAACTCTTCTCGGCCTTTTGCAGGTCATCTCTTAATACCTGTGCCAGTGATGAACTGTACCACTCCACAGGCACCTTTGAAAGCACATCCCACACTGCTATGAAGCCTATCACTACTGTTTGGAAAAGGTTTTTAAGAAAAACTATTTCCTACTTTAAAACATAATAGAAACTGGAAGGATACTTTTGGATACTGAGGGATCAAAAATTTCCTATAAACCACCTATAACTGAAAGCAGAGAATAATGATAGAACTGTTCAGTTCAGCTGAGCACAACTTGGGAAGAGGTTGTAGCACAGTGAGGTAATGGATTACATCAGATGTGAAAGCCCCCCAAAACCTTCTCCCAGAAACACTTACAGGAAAAGACAAGTAAGAAAACTACAGCTCGAGATGGCAACGGTGACACCGCAGACACCCCTGAGACTGATGTCACAGGCAGACATAAAACAGGGATCCTGAGCCAGCCTGTGGGCACCCCAACAGTGATGCTTCTATGAAATAGAACACTAAAATATTTCAGTAATATTTCTATGAGAACACACAAGCAGAAGTTTCTGTACCATCCAATTACCATTTTTGCAGTATTTTGGCACTCCTTTTAGACTTAATATGAATGCTGTGGAAACAGACAAAGCCTGTAAATAACACTAAGAAGATACAGAGTTCACTGTTATCGGTGAAACATCTCTGACAAGGATTCTACTTTCTGTATTTCTTCACTAAATGTTCAGTTATTAGTGTCAACTTGTTCTCAGTGTGCCGATTTTTAAGTTGTAACTTTTTCTGATGTATTGAAATATAAGGAATGTAATAATAAAACAGCATCTTAATCTCAGGGGAGAGAATACCATTTGCTGGTAGGGTCTCGGAGTCACTAATTGCAACATCTTTCATAACACCTTTCTTCTCTGCTTCAGCGATATTATCTTTGTAATGAACACAATTATGATATAGCCTGTAATTCTGTATATGACCCATAGACAATATTTTACATCCTCATGCCTTAACAAAGGCAAAGTTGAAGCTGTAAAAATATTCCATAGATTTTCCTAAAAAGAAGAAATGCAGAGATCCTCAAGTTTCTCTAGGGTGAAAAAGCAACATTTTTTTTCCTCCAGAGACAGCAGTTTGCATTCAGTTTAAGTTCTCACCCTGCCCACTGAGGCATTAGGGGGAAAAAAAAGCCTGCAAAAGCTGATGGCAGCTCGCCATGGATGTACGGCATTGCCCGGACCCGATGGAAACGCGTTCTGAAATAAATCAGATTTCCCCCTGATGAGAACCGCAGTGGAAATAAGACAACAGAAGAGATGAGCATCATTTAGCAGCAGCTTTGGGAAACATTTTGATGTGACTATAAACACAGCTTCAGAAGCTAAGTGCTACAAAATAGAATATTGCCTTACACATTTTCTTGTCAATTTTGTATATATATAGAAAAATTATACAGTAACTAACTCCTAGCTGCTGCTAGAAAGACTTTCAATTTTCCTTGTTATACTCCATTTACCTGTGTTTCCATTAAAAACTGTCAGTTTTGAATTTTTAAGACCAAAAATGCAGGAGACAGCATCTACAAGTCCAGTGAAGTTCAAGGTATTATCTCCTTTTGGATTCTCCAGCAGCAACACACCATCTAAAACCAAAAATTAAGAAATTAAAATGCAGCTTGGAAGCAACATCCCAATTTCAATGATTTCCCAATGACTTTTTCTAATTAATTCCAGTGAGTTTCTAAGCTAACTTTAAACTGGCAGCACGGCGTCTTCCAGAAATTTTTCTAGTAAGAAAGGGAGAGGGAAGAGAACAGGGAAACTGATTCAAAGTGCTTCAGATTTAGAGTGTGGAAGTTGTATATGGTTTCATTAACAAAGCAGTCAAATTTGTATGTCACGGAATTACAATTCAGTATAATATTAATTACAAACTGGCAGACTGTGTGCCCTCCAAGATATTCACCAGCTTATATAGTTACAGTCATTATTCTTCAGGAAGCAGCTTTGTGCCAACGTTAAACAAGGCAACTTCCTGCGACACATCAACTGTAAACATACGTAGGAAAAAAAATAATCTAGTTTTCTTTCCTTTTAATCTATAACTCAAGCTTCTAATGCTTTTCACGATAGCACTGCACTCATCTTTTGATTAGCCAAGACTTTGCCATTCTATTTTCAAGTTTTAAATGTTCTTTTGAGCTCTATATTTAATATCTAAGTTTTTCAAAACCAGGATCTCCTCCACAGAAAGGCCTCACCTCCATTTACTACTGTAATGGAGAACTACAGCAAGAATTAAAAATTCTTAAGGTACAGACTCTGAGCGTGGGCGAATGTACACACACAAATACAGTTATATGGATAATTCTATCCATAGATATGTATAATCACACAGATCTTCACATACAAACCCTTCTGCAGGGTTTGTACAAATACAAATAACTCCCGTGTACACCTGAGTATTTACTTGAGGTCCACAATAGAAGACATCACAGACAACATGTTGCTTTGCTTTTTAAAAATTTATTTTGAAGAATTATTTAGATCTACTACTGGAAGGGAGTTTGCACCATCTTTCAAACAAACTTGTGGCTCTGCCGTTCCTCACTCTGTTTCCCAAGCAATCTTTGGATACCCCCCTGACAGGTCAAGCCCAGCACGTCCCTACCTTGCTCTGCCCCGTTCACACAGACTTTGAGGTTGACGTAGGCACAGGCTGGCCCAACGCGCTGACACAAACCGCCTCTCACCAGTGTAATTTCTAGCTCCGATCCCTTCAGCTGAAGAAAGAGGAACATTATGATTATTTGCACGTTGCTTTATCAAACACAACAAAATACTTTCCTTAAATAAACAACATGAAGATCTTGTCTTATTATACTAAGACAATGACTTAAAATAAAATGGCAACTTTTGCCACATCTTCCTTCAGAGACAGAGCACTTCAAATATTAAATATTTAACACATAAGAAAAACAGAGAAGAATAAACAGCCTGATTTTCACAAGTGATGAACAGTGACCACACTCTCTCCAGAAGTGAATATACTTCAGAGAGGAAGACTCTTCACAGGGTAACTGAGCATCTCTGCAGACAGGGTGGCTCTCAGTGGCTGCCTAGAGAAGGCAGCGGCTCCCTTGGGAACATTCCCCCCTTAGCTATTAGTCATCAATTAAAACTTCAAACACCCCAACAAGAAATGAAACAAATATCTCTCTCTCTCTGAATGAGACACAGGATGAAGAGACTTGAGAATCTGCAGCAATACCACAGACAGACCTGTTTCATAGAGGTCTTAAACCACAGCTTTAAGACTGTGCTTTTTCCGAGCGTGGGTCCTTTCCTGAACTAAGTGCCAGCTGGAATTACTCCTGCCCTTACACCAATTTTCATGAGATTCATACTCTATAAGATCCCTTCATTACAAATTGTAATTAAACAAATTGTCAAAGGATGACTGGCTCAGAAGTGGAAGCGCCCCTCTTTGCTGAGCTCCTATTACAAAGTAGGGAGAGACACTTAGGGAGCAGCAAAGCTCATTTGGTGTTTACCCAATTCTACTAGCGATTAAAAATTCATTTTTCAAGTAGCTGCTTTTCCTTCCTAGTATTTTCTGAGAAACTGCTGATATTTTTTCTTGCTGTCTCTCTAAGAGTGTCTTTGGAAGAAGAGTTCTTAATTAAAGTGTATCAAAAATTGATCCAGGATAATTTCATAGAAATACCAACCCTGAATGTAATCAAAATACTTGTAGAGAAGACAGACTGCATTTCATTTTGTGCCAGTCTTCACATATATTCAACATCATGCAGCCCTGTTACTCCTTTTAAAGTCTTCCAGAGATGTGGTGCAATGATCCTGTCACGGTTGACTTAACTTATGAACCCACGTGTGGAATTACACACTTCATTCTTTTAACTTGCACCTGCTTTTATATCTGAAAAATCTATATAATTGTCTATATAATCATCGCTGTAAAGCATTCTCCATGTCGGTGCTGCTTATCTACCCCCACCAATGGAAGACAGTTGAAGCATAATTCAATTTTGAGTTCACATCTTCATAGACTTTATGCCTGAAAGAGCAAGTTATAAAAAGCAGTGCAGGTGTGGCTAACAAAGATGACTAACCATAGTCATGTCTGCTGCACCACACTACGAATCCAGCGCACGCAGCTGCAGACTCAACTCTCCAGAAAGGGCCAAACTCCTGCACTGAAAGGATTTCTGAAGAAAGACTTTTTCATTGTGGGTATTTTTATTCCCAGCTGTTAATGTGACAAGCTCCTTGCAGCAGAACATGGAGTACAGAGTCAGAAATCTGCCCTGAGCAATCCATCTCTGCTGTCCCAGGAAGCCTGACTTCCAAGGAAGACTTTCAAGTCACACTAAAATCTCAATCTGTTTCTCTTTGCAACCTCTATTTTAAAATCTAAGTGTGTGACTAACAATGCAGAGGCACAGCTGTACGCCCAGGAGCACTAAAATCTCAATCATCTGTTTCTCTTTGCAACCTCTATTTTAAAATCTAAGTGTGTGACTAACAATGCAGAGGCACAGCTGTACGCCCAGGAACCAGCCATATCTGCAGAAAGCAACCCACGCTTTACTCCTTAAAGTAAAACAATAACAAACAACTCTGCATTTACTTACAAAGCTTTTCTTTGCCTCCACTTACCGTACATAAACTGTACAGCTTCGGGACACAGAACTTGCAATAACTCCCTGCTAATGGTTTTGTTTGACAAAACCCCCACGCCCAAGATTTTAAGCTGTCGGGGAGGCACTCTCAGCTCCACCACCTTTACAAGATCCTTACGTTACTATAAACTTACCAATTGCAATAGCCCCACAGAACTCTATATAGTCTTATTTCACCCAAAATTTTTTAGGTTTTCCCAGTCTCAGATCCAACAGTTGTGCAAATGCACGGCCTGACCCACAAACCTCCTCTCTCTGGTTTACATACTACTTCATACATAATACTTCATTTCAAAACCAGAATGGATTTTTGCTTCCAGACAACAGCTATCAATTACATCCAGAATAACCAGCGCCTTCCGTCATGACAAGATTTCATCTTTACATAAACACCGTTACTTAAAACTAATCCAATTGACTCATCTTTTAGCTTTCCACCATGGTTTTCTTGACTAGAATCTGCTATATTAAGATTTAGAAAACAGAAAACCAGTAGTGGGGGGAACCACACTGGTGAGGCAGGAAAGCTTTCATGGGAAGACCCAGCGACCAACATTGAACCCGGCCATTTAGCCATTCAGACAAGTGTTTTCCAGCACTATACATTTTTTTTTCCCCTGCTGCTTTTACATTCTAATTCAGATTTGATGCTGACTTAACATCAAACTGTCCATCAGAAGTACCCCTATCAGAGAAGTACCTAAAAGAAATATTTCCACCAATTTCTACTTTTACAAAGTGGTTTTCTCTTGTTTGTCACTAGATGAAACTAGTAGCTTTACAAAAGGCCAAACATAGCTTTGTTTCAAATCCGTATGACTTTATAAATGTATTATTAATAAGGTGTAAAACATTTCCTTACACATACTCTTAGTAAGATGGACAAAATATGTGCTTTCCTTTTGGCTATTCCCAGACCCCCAAGCCATTCTGTAAAACCAATTTTAAAAGTCTGATATATCCTAAGTTCTCATCTTTCTGGTCCAGCATGACATGTCGTTGAAGAATATTTCCTCCTCAACCCTGCTAGGAATGCCTTCCAAATATACTAAGTGTGAATAAAAATATGGCAAAAGTATTTTCAAAACATGTCAGAAAAAATGGTCAAAGAAAACAAAGGAAATAGTTCAAATCTGCTGCTGAAAGAATAAAACAAAAGACTGAACTTGAGCAACACAGGAGAGAAAAACCAAGTGTCCTCAAACTGAAGGTGATCCTAAGCCAAAAGGCAAAATTTAGCCTAAAAGGAGAACGTTGCAAATGCAAAAGCATATTAACTTAAAGAAATCAGAGTAATGACATTTTTGCTGTATAAATAATGTGCTAATCCAAATACAAATAACTATGTGTATTAAGCTTACACAAGCAACTACCTAAGATATTTATTTTGGTACCCAAGTGGCTTTGTTCTAATAAATACTACACATAGAGAGCCTAACTCCTTTCTTTTCTAAAAAAAAAGACTGATATGGAAATTTATAAATATGACACAATATCTACTATATCCCCCAAAATAAATATTTACATATATTTTTTTCTATAATTGAAGCAATTTGTTCTGTTAAAAGCAGATAACAAAATGAACTATGGAGTCAATGCTTTTTCCTACTTACTTGGGTTGTTTCCTGGATGAGAACTTCTTTTGAGGTAGGCACCGGGTAAGGCTTCAGGGCAGCCTTGATTGTTGCAAAAATGAAATCCGTGTGTTCCTTAATGACAGTATCCAGGTAGTCACCCTCCGGGTGTGCTCTGTAGTACACCGTGATCTCGTCTGTAGGAACCAGATTTCGCTGGAGGAGACACCAAATATACCATTAACGACAGCAAGATGACTTTCACGTATACCAACTGAAAGAAGGATACTTGGTAATGAAAAAACGTCTTAGATATTTACCAACATTTGTTAAAAGTTTCTGCAAAGGATCACAGGATCACAGAATCGTAGTGGTTGGAAGGGACCTCAGAGAGCATCGAGTCCAACCACCAAAAAAAAAAAAAAATCCACAAAAAACACAAACCACCACCCATCACCAAAACACACAACAACAACCACCACCAAACCAAAAACCATCTCCCACCCACGAAGCATCCCACCACAACCCAGTAATCTTGGGCACTAGAGCATGCCCTGAAGAACCATGTCTACACGTTTCTTAAAATACCTCCAGGGATGGTGACTCCACCACCTCCCTGGGCAGCCCATTCCAATGCTGGATAACCCTTTCAGTAAAGAAATGTTTCCTAATATCCAACCTGAACTTCCCCTGGCGCAACTTGAAGCCATTACCCCTTGTCCTGACATCTGTAACTTGGGAGAAGAGACCGACCCCTGTCTCTCTACAGCTTCCTTTCAGGTACTTGTACAGAGTGATAAGGTCTCCCCTCAGTCTCCTCTTCCCCAGACTGAACACCCCCAGCTCCCTCAGCCTCTCCTCGTAAGACTTGTGCTCCAGACCCCTCACCAGCTTCGTTGCCCTTCTCTGGACCCGCTCCAGCACCTCAATGTCCCTCCTGTGGTAGGGGGCCCAAAACTGGACACAGTACTCGAGGTGGGGTCTCACCAGTGCCGAGTACAGGGGGATGATCACCTCTCAGGTGATCTAGATCGGATCGGATCTAGAATAAAACAATTCTTTTGTTCAGAGGCTTGAAACACGGTGAGTTTTCCTTCAACAGAAAACACACAACAACAACCACCACCAAACCAAAAACCATCACCCACCCACACAGTACCCCACCACAAACCAGTAATCTTGGGCACTAGAGCATGCCCTGAAGAACCATGTCTACACGTTTCTTAAATACCTCCAGGGATGGTGACTCCACCACCTCCCTGGGCAGCCCATTCCAATGCTGGATAACCCTTTCAGTAAAGAAATGTTTCCTAATATCCAACCTGAACTTCCCCTGGCGCAAAGAGACCGACCCACACTTCTCTACACTCTCCTTTCAGGAAGTTGTAGAGAGCGATAAGGTCTCCCCTCAGTCTCCTCTTCCCCAGACTGAACACCCCCAGCTCCCTCAGCCTCTCCTCGTAAGACTTGTGCTCCAGACCCCTCACCAGCTTCGTTGCCCTTCTCTGGACCCGCTCCAGCACCTCAATGTCCCTCCTGTGGTAGGGGGCCCAAAACTGGACACAGTACTCGAGGTGGGGTCTCACCAGTGCCGAGTACAGGGGGATGATCACCTCTCAGGTGATCTAGATCGGATCGGATCTAGAATAAAACAATTCTTTTGTTCAGAGGCTTGAAACACAGTGAGTTTTCCTTCAACAGATAATGACCAAATAACGTACCTTCCTCAAAATGTCTCACTTCCCAATTCCTGTACCAACTCACCCCCTCAGTGAGCTGAAAGCCTACCACATTTATTAAAAAGCTTTTCTTGATGCATGAGAATTTCACCAGCATTTACACATCCTGACAGCCTGAAATTAAACCCTGGGCTCTTTATTGAACAATTGCTCAATCAGTGACATTTTCTTAACGCCCAACAGTCTCCAAGACACTCTGGTAATAGTTTGGAAGGTGGTGACCGGACTTTCACACTAGTTCTGTCACATCTCACATACTAACATACACTTCAGGGGAAAAAAAAAGCAATTTATTTGAATGGTAAGCTTATTAAAGCTGAATTAGAGCAAAATTCTGCTTCAGTAAGAAAATGGTTTCAAGGAAAAAAAAAAACCAGCACCAAGAAAACTTTATTTCTAAAATCTGCTAAAAATAATTACTGCCCTAATGCCAGGAATAGTTACTGCGGATCTGGAATATGTGGGTTTATTACGTGCCTACTTTTTTAACAGGAGTGGGAATAAAAGAATGACAGAATAAATGCACATTAGCATCATGTTAATTATTAGGCAAGATTAAGTATTTTGATATTCATTTAAGTGAGAATAAATTATGGCCTTATGTCATTATAGAAGTAAATTTAAATCAACCAGCAATTTATGAGAGAGTATTCTTTTCATGGCCACATTCCTTCCTGGTTTTACTTTATACATAAATAAATCTACATAGGTTTTTTTTAATATACATGCACTGTATATATAGTATATAACCATTTTGGCACAAATTTGTCATTTTTCAGTGTTATACTGAAGATTCATACAGTTTTTGGGAAAAGATACTTGTACAACGAAGACATTTCCCATGAAAATTGTCTCTACACATCACTTAGAGTTTTTGCAAGATTTCTTCAGGCATAAGTCTGACAAAGACACAAATTCTAGTGCATTTCCACCAAGTTTGTTGAGTAGGAAAACCCTACATTTATCACAGAACACTATGTTGCATGTTTGCAATGTGTATGTGCATGAGGGGACTATTTGGTTTGTGGGGTAATTTTTCTTCAACTTGCAGGTTTTGAAACCTTTAGAATTCTTTATATCAAGATAAATCTTGCTTCATGTCCTCTCCAGATTAAAGGCTTTTTAGATTTGCCATCACCCCCACAGTGATGGCGCTTTCTTGGCACAAAACGGAGGTAGTGAGCACAGCTCTTTCGGGATAAGTATTGTAGAAAGAATGAAGTGACATTGGTTCAAAGTGCTTTAACGTAAAGGTCAGACAGCAGAGAACAATTTAGAGTGGAGCCATTAATGGAGGTATACAAATCAGTGCCAGAAATGCCTCCTGCAATTTGCTAAGAGATGAGTTTGTTTCTTTTCACAGTCCTGGGCTGGGATGTCTCAGCTCCCACCAGCTCAGCTGCCGTAGCCCACTGGGATTGAGACGGACCAGAGGGTAATTCTGGGCAGGAGGCAGCAGCCCCAAGAACCGCTGCTTAACAGGGACTCAGCCTCTGCCACATAGCTGGAGATAGGAAACAAGAGGTTTCAAGAAGAAACAATTAGTTAATTCACTATAGACGATGTATAGCAAGCTCGTTGTTCAACTTGAGCTACTTAGTAATATGGGAAGCCAAAATTAAAATAATGATTTGTACTAATTTCTATCCAATCAGAAAGCTATACATGAGGAGTAAACGGTAGAGGGCCTCATGTTTAATTAAAAAGGTCAGTTTCTGCTGCATATTGCCCAAAGATTGCTTAAAAGGCAATTAAAATGTCTTGTTCCAAACCATTGCTTCCTCACCTTTTTGCGAAGCTTCTGGATGCGATTAATCACTTCCCGGGCAACTCCTTCATCCACCATGGACTGGTCTGGGGTAACATCCAGCAGAACTAAAACCTGAGGTGATGCACAGGAGACAGTTGAATTGGTGACAAACTTGAAACAAACCAGTATTAACTCCCTCAGAAGCTCAGATACATTTTTATAGAGCTCCTCTCTTAGAGGATATCACGTTGAAGAGAGTACTTTAACATCTCCAAAATTCAGAAGAAAGGCTCATGGAATTTGTTGAACAACCTGAACAAACAAAACCACCCCAGCTTTCACCTCACCATTTTCATGTTACTTCTAGAGGAACTCTGCCCTTAATCAAAAACAGAAGAAATAACCAGTAAAATACCTGAGCATCGGAATGTGCCTCAAACTGGGCAGATCCTCCTGTGACCTGATCAAAGGTATACATGAGACGAAGATCTTCCCCGTGGAGTTCATGTCCTTCTACAACGATGGTGCCTGCAGAATTGGCAGATGATGAGCATCTCTTACAACCAGTGTAAAAAAAAAATATATATACCATTTTTAATTCAAAAAAGCTTTTAACAAGTCTCAGACTTCAAATATATGAAATGCAGTACATTTGCAGTACAGTTAAAGAGCAGTTAAGCCCCAGTAAGAAACACTGAAGTATCACAGGGTCAGTTTTTTCATACAAGCAGCAGAACTCACTCAAACACAGACGCTTCAGCAACTGTGTCCGTGCCACTTGAACGAAACAGTATAAAGCTTAAAAATAACCTGTAAACCCAACTAAATCAAAATTTATATTTAAGCAGTTAACTAAACAGATATAGCTGGAAAATTCACACCCACGTGTAAATCTGGAATTGAAGCAATGCTTTTAAAAAAAAACTATTGTACATATACTTAATTTGAATCTGATTCCATCTTATTCTCTACTTCATTTTGGGCTTACAACACCACTTATACAGGAGAACAGTGTAAGATGAGTGTACATGGCCACTGCTAATCTACTGTCAGAAAACAATACAACCAATTGTTCTCCTCATTAACATAAAATTTAATAGAGATAATAGCAAGGAAGTAGGCCTTAAGTTCCCCTAAGCCCACAGAAGGATACTTTTGCATCTGTTCCTGCAAATGCTTGATTAATATACAAAATCAAGTGCAATTGCTTGAGTTTTTTCTGACGAGCCAAACAGTTTTGGATCTTTTTTTGGTCAACTTTGGCATTGTTTAGTGGTTTGTCCCATTGTGTACCTGTCTCCTGGAATTTCTCCAGCTGCTCACTCTTCAGCTCTTTGATGGCAGCCGTGACAAGCTTAAATGCACCTTTCAAACGCTTCCCCAGCACCATGTGATCCGGTTCCGCTCGCAGCCGGACTCCGTATTTATCTTTATTGGTAGATAGTGTCACTTGACGTACATTGAGTTCCTACACAAAAACACCAAGAGAAAAAAAAAATGAAGCTAAAGAAGAGCCATCTGTGACTTGTGGAAAGGGTACAAAACCAGGGGAAGTCGTAAGTCTCAAGCTGCAATTTTTTTATATGGTTGTCTCTATGGACTAAGTCATTTTCCCACACTGCAAGAGCCAATAAACCCAACCAATACTGAAGCTCTCCTTCAGCAGAAGATCCTTTTCTCCTCTACAGCCTGCAGGTGGACATTTCTGTTATTAACAGACACCAGTCAGCTCTCAACTCAAATCACACCCCCCGTCAACAACCTTTTTTATTTTACCATTACAGCTGCCTGCAGAGGTAAAACTATTACCTTTGTGTGCCATGGCATCAGAAAACGGCCCGGCAAAATTCAGGAAGGAAAATTTTGCTGCAGAAGTCCTCTCAATATGCATTTAGGCAGAAAACTTTAACAATTTCATGTTTTAAGTTGTACAAATGCTACTGCCTCATTTTGTCTCTCTCCTTATCCGTTTATTCTAGGTCCTTACCATACAGAAAACCACCTTCCTCAGAAAAGCTTCTCTCTATGCCCTTCAGCATGAGAGCACTGTGCCAGAGCAGCCAAAAATGCTTAGAAAACTCACATGAACTTCAGGAGGGGCCCCAGACCCAGGATGTTATTTTGCCACTACAGAATCTTGGGTGTACACGTGTTTTAGAAGTCACACGTGCAGGTTTTGTCCCTGGATCTGAAGGGGAATATAGTGGTGGTGTGGGAAGTTTTACAGAAGAACTGATTAGGAGGACAACATTGCAATCACATGAGGAAAAACCAAGGTGAGAACTCTTTGGAGAGAAGGAGGCTGAAGGGGGATATAATTGAAGTTAAAAAAATTATGAAAGAGGTGGGTAAGGAATGCAAAACTGTTATTCACCAAATCCCCAAAGAGCTCCTCAGGGAAGGGAGCACACAGTGGAAATAGCAAGAGATTGGTTTAAAAGAGATACAAGGAGTTGACCCTTGGAATTTAATGCCACAAGTGGATGTAAGCAGGAGTGTAGAACCAAGTTCAAAAAGGAATTAAGCTCATGAGAGTAGGCACGTGACAAGATGCTGCAGGGACAGGCAGGTCTGCACACTGAGTATCTTTAATACAGAAGCTGCAGATGGTGACTATGACAAGACCCTACTGCAAGAAGTGGCCAGATGCTCGTACTTTCTCTGAATGGACTCTACCACTGCAGGAGACAGCACGATGTGCTGATGAGCCACGAGTCTAAACCACTACATCACTTCTTACATTCTTAATTACAAACATTTTCCTCGTCACATAAGCACGTTAAAAGCCACCATTAAAAAACCCCACAAACCTAATTACACACCCTGAGCATCACACAAAGCCAAATGTGGAAATACACAGCAAACCTCTCCACTCTCCACTTAATTCTGTCCAAGGAACGCATGATTAATAATACTAAGAAATAGTGCCTTGGTACAGCTCCTGCCAATAACTGCACTGTATCCCAGTGGTATTCTGTGTCTTCGAGAGTCTAATTTTTCTCAGCTTCGTCAGGCTAAGAAACACACGCAAGGCAGAACTTGATACCTAAATTTCCAGTTTCACCCAGTCTCACACTCTGTTCTTGGAAAAAATTAATTTAATTTAACAGGTACAAACCTGCACAGATCCATAGCACGTTTCACTATAATTTGGCAGGTTTTGTCTGTCAGGCTGCCCAATACCTGAAGCATTTTGTGTTTAAATCTCCACAAGAAGGTTGCTGGAGTTCACATCAACATGATACCCCATCACCAAGTGCATCTGCCAAGGATGCTCCTCCGAGTCATTTAGGAAGCAGAAGTAAATGGCAGTGTCAGCATGACGGGACTAGCAAGGAGCCAAACATTTCCATTGAGAAGTAATGCTTAAATACAACCCCAGAGCTACAGTCTAATTCCCAAGGAAGCCCTACTGACATTGAGGATCCAAGAACACAACTCAAGCTAATTTTATTTAATACATCTTTTAGGAAATCTAATGAAATTTACGTATTTCAGAAATTTAGTTTTAATGGGGTGATGTTGGAAAGGAGCCCACAAGTGGTAAATGACAAGCTCATGGGGAAAAAGAAATAATAATCCAAAAACCAGCACAAATTGAAACATGACTTTGGGCTTGATTAGATAAATTGCATACAAGCCAACTCCATCGGGACAAGTTTTCTATACTAATTAGATTAGGAAACCATTCTTCTGTATACATTATCAATTAAAAAACCAGAGCGACTCTTCAACAAAAAAAGCAAGTCCTTATCTTAGATGTGTTTATATCTGCCTCAATATAGTGCTTTGACTTAAAATATTTCTTTATCTTCTCAATAAATCAAAAATAGCTCCTTACACATCTTTCAAGTCTCATACACACAGAGGCAACCAGTCCTTCCTATCACCAGTCAGAAAATTCCAGCATTCCTACAGACAAGAGCCTTTCACTGGGGCCACATTCCAGACACAATCAGATCGACCCATAACCCAACTATGCGCAGTTCTCAGAAGAGACCAACACCAGTGCTGTGCTCCAGCTGGACTGGGGTCTTTAAGTGAGCATCTTAAACAGGAACATAACTATTGGTTACACGGTACTGTAAGAAACAAAAACACTGAAGGCCCTTCATGCGTCACTTAATGGAGCCCGTGCATGGGCTCCTTCCACTACTTTACTGTAACACCATTAATGTTATGAAATATTGGTAGACCTTGGATTTGATGAAGGAGAAGTCAATTTTCTCCGTTTTATTATAGCCAATACACGGGGTGGGGGTTGAAGGGTTATACAAAGGTCGGATGCAAACAAGATTCTGTTTGTGCATAGAGTAAAATTTACTCAGATAAAACCTTTCACTGGAAGAGAAAGCCCTGAACTAGGCTTGTAAAAGGCCTCAAGTACTAATGAATAAATGCAATTGTGTTCAGTTGCTAAAAGCCTTCTGGTTTTATTACATTGCTTGAGCTTGGCCTTTTTTTGCATGACAACTCTATACTCTGGACAGTTCTAATATTAAAATCCATTTCTTTAAATCCTTTGCTATGTTCTGATGATGAGGGAATAAAACTGCAGATCAAAGACTACAGGTACTTCTGAAAACATGATGAATGAAATTTTCAAGGAATTGACAAGTGTAATTTTCAAATTCCTTTGTCAGCAACTGCGTGAAATTAAAAAGTCTAATTTTTCTTACAGATGACCTGTGGCACCTGCGAATTTACTAGAAACAAACTTCTAGCAATAACTAAAGGTTCTAAAGCTCTGAATATGTAGGAGGTTGATGAACAAAGCTGCAAATACAGTAATACTATCCAGTCTGCTTGGATTCATTGACCTCTTTAGCTCTGCTCCATCCTAGTCAACAGCCAGATTGATTGCTGTGCAATACGATAAAACACATACCTTCAGCATCAGCTTGTTGAATTTTAAGATACATAATAAAAATAGGACAACAGACAGTCTTTTGTATCTGTGCTTCCACAAAGCTATTTCAGTTTGTTGTAACTCCTCTCCCCATACGACATACCTGAGCTTTGTTTGCAAGAGCAAATGAATATAAATTAAAACATGCTTTCGTACAAACCAATTATGTAATAATTTATAGATTGTTAGGTTTCTTTGTTAGCTTTTACTAGCTATAAAAGCTGACAGCAAATTTTGTCAGCTATTGTTTTTGGAAGTAATTTGAGTAAACAAACCTCATCTCCCTTAAAATTGGATTCTGTAAAATCCACAAATCCAGTTTTCAGATTGAGAAAATGTGATAGACGCTAACCTAAATTTCACAAAATTCTGCTATTGAAAAGATCCAGGTATTGAAATGATTAATAATAGCAATTTTGAAGTGAAGCATCGTAACTGCCAAGTCTAAGGAAAACAATCAATAAGTTAACGTGACAGAAAAGCCTTACAATCCCACTTGCAAATCAATGAAGATTTTCTTAATTAAAAGTCCTTTGGGGCACAATTCTTAAGAATTGAAGGCCCACAGTAACTGAAAGCAAGAAGCACACAACACTGACCTAGAATCCTTGTGCACTGAGCCACGACTCCCTCAGCCAGTGCTCTTCAGTTGCCCCCAGCAGAATTTTTAGAAGCTGCCCTTAGATGTGGCTTGGGGAAAGATGGTATTGCTAGAGTAATACATAATTAGAAGTTTAAGAGGTCCCCCACTGCTTCAGTCAGCTCTTAAATTCTCTGACTGCCATGGTTGCTCTCTCCAAGACACGTGAAGTGTGTTGATCTTGCTTGGGCAGATGCAGATTTTTGTTCTCTTTGTCAAGGCAAAGCAGCTGATCTTGACAATGACAACTTGAACTAAAAAAGTTCTAGCACATTTAAAGCATGTGATGAGATCTTCTGTTACAGAACCCTCTGAAGATACTTTACTGAAAGGAGGTAAGAATCCTTCACCTGCCAAGGACAGGTGTATGATAAGGGCCATGCCATTTCTGGACAAGGGAAAAAGTATCCTTAGATACTCCACTGTTATCATAATAGAAAAAGAACTTATCTTTCCCTATGTTTCCCACCCAATTACTGTACTTGGACACACAGAAGCCACACATTAATATGCCAGCAGCTGGGAAGTATGCTGGAGGTTAAACAGGCCAAAGAATGAAGGTGTAACAGTAAACTGGTTTTAGTATATATGCTACAAGCACTTCAAATACAGCTAAGAGGGCAGACTTCAGAGGATGAGAAGTGCACCCTATGGCTCACCTTTCCAGATGTGAAGTTCTCACAGGAGGGAAGTGTGTCTTTCATAAACTGTTCAGATGTACAACTATGCTGCTGTTTAAATGTTTTTTTTTCTTCTGGTTTTTGCTCGTTTAAACAGAGATGATTGCAAACAAGCAGATTTGAGAGGGCACATGCACTCAGAAACTGTATTAAGACTTCTATGTGAAATCTATGAAAACTCCTGTAACACTTAAGGAAGTTCATATTTGGGGGGGTTGATAGTTTTTGTATTCCATGGTACTTAACTTCTCTAACAAGGACCTTCTTTAAGACAGACCTGAGGCATCTCTTCCTCAGAAATGTTTTTATCAGGAGGTCTTCAATGGGGAAGATCATCTGAACAACTACTGAGGTGGTTTTGTTTTGCAAGACCACTCCTTCAGTCCTCACCCCAGAGAACAGCTGGCGTGTATTCTGCCTCGTTGAATTAGGAGACACACAAATACAGTAAGACTGCATAAGGGAAGGATTCAAGTGAAAATCCAGACAGATTAATAAACAGAAATTATCATCATGAAGTAATCCCCAATTTATGTGTCTAATGCACACATTCTGCACAACATAACACCAAATCAGTTCCTTAGAATTCTGCTTTCTTAGCAAAGAGTTGCTATTCGAAAGGCAATTCTTTTCTCCCCAAAACACACACAGTTACAAAGATGAAGTCATGGTTTATCTCCCCAAGGAACACAATGAAACATCTGGGTGAAAAGTGGTCCTCTATCCCAACAAGAGACTACTGCAGCAAGAGGAAATTCAGACTGCTCAGAAAAGATCTTTGCTTAACCAGTCTTCCCTCTTCCCTAACTGCATTCCAGAGCAGTTCTCCAAGGCTCCCAGTCTCCCAACAGAGATGGCATTACCTCTAACTCCCTGGTCAGTGAAGCCATTATAAAGCACAGAGGCTGCTAACACTGAGAAATCACACATAGCATAGCTCATGACATCAAATGCACGATCACAAACAGATATAAGGAGAAATAATCACTGTTTTGCAAGATGCTTTGAAGGCCCCAACACCTAGAAAAAAGTTCAGAGGCATACTGGCATGGTAGCTGGTTTTTCTCCTTTTCTTTTTAAATAAAACCACCACAGCTCATCAAAATTCATCACTACGGCAGAAACACTCTTCCTTCTCACTATTCCCTCTCAGCTGGTTTTTCTCCTTTTCTTTTTAAATAAAACCACCACAGCTCATCAAAATTCACCACAGTGGCGGAAACACTCTTCCTTCTCACTATTCCCTCTCACTCTTTGATTTCTCTTGTACATCATAGATGTAAAAGCAGATGCATATAAAGTCTATTTGTAATGAAATTCAGTTGAACATAAAGACTAAAATAAGCCCACTCTACAAGCAGTCTTTTAAGCAATCAAAAAGTAACAGGCTTTGTGCCTTCGCCACAACTTCTGAAGTGCAGTACTGAAGTTGAAAAGATCTATTTATAATATAAACATAGAAATAAATGAAGCTGATTTATAAACAAACTCCTTTTCCATTTTACTTGTTAAAATACTATGGATTTTTACGTGACTGACTAAAAGCAGAAAGCGCAGCCAATTTCAGGAAGCTAAGCTCAAAAACCCAAGAAGGGTTACTTTCCTTTTGAATGACGGGGCTTTTATGCAAACAAAGGCTTAGAAGTAGGACAGGCTGCATTTCTCTAATGGACACACATTAAGAGAGCAGATGAGTGTAAGAAATTGTACAGATGAAATTCTTACTTATTTGACATTTTATTGCCTAAACAACATCCTGCAAAAATCTTGACTGGTCCCCTATTCTGCCTTACATGGAGCTCCTTCTCTCCAGCAACTCTTCCACTTAACTCTCAAACTGATTTCAATGCCCTTTAACCGAAGGGGATCACAAATTTTGCAGTCCATCTCTTTGACAACATGCAGCTGACTACTGCCTTACTTTCATTCAGAAAATGTTTTTTGCTTTAACTCACCAAGAAAAAGAACATTTCTAACAGCCTATTAGTCCTGCGTGCTCAGTGATTAAGTAATTCTCAGTACTACAACTGACTAAGGATCATCACCCATTTACCTTCATTTCTGTACCCAGTACCCACTGATACCCCCTTTCATGACAATTCTCTTTTACCTTAATTTTACGTGTGAGTTATTCATACCATCAACAGGCGGGGTTAGGGTTTTGTTTGTTTAGGTAACTGACAAACACAATCCAGTTAAGCATCATGTTCATGGTGTTCTTACCTCGAGTATGTACTTCTCTAAAGATCTGATATTTTCCAGAGCCTCTGGATCCTGATGGATAACGACTACTTCTTTCAATGGGTACTGAGGAGAAGGAAAAAAACCAACAGAAACTTTTGGTTTTCCAACTGAAAATAAAGAACTTCGGAAGTTATTGTTTATCATTTGAAGGATTTTATTGTTGAACTCTGTTTATTATATCAAATTAATTCTTCAGTTTTCCCAGGCTTATCCCAAAGCTACAAAGCTACTGCACATTCCCATGGTATTGATAAGAAAACATTAAGAGTTCTGACCTTTACTGGAATGGTTTTTCTGTCTCTGATTACTCGTCCTAGCTCAATAACAGACTGCAAACAAGAAACGGCACTTTCAATTTTTTTGTCGATGAGATCCTCCCTAGATTAAAAAGGAAACATTATATTGCTTCATTTTCATTGCATCTGTTTGAGCAGATTGAAAACATTTTACCCCTTCTCAGAAATTTCCTGCAAGAGACTCAATTACGCCCTGTTTGGGGCAATTTGAAAAATGAACAAACAGGTTTTTCTTCTCTCTTTGTGGAGAAGATGAGGAAATAACTTGCTGAAAACAAAAAACAGAGCTATTTTAAAATCATCTTTTGTTAGCACCTCTCACAAGATGGAAATGATGGATTGAGTCATACTAGTTATTCTATTAACATCCAATCAAAACTAAGATTTACATTGGTAAGATCATAAGAAGATGCAAAAAGATATTATAAATAGGACACTTATAATGACAATGAAATACCTATAATGCAACCAACTCACTGGATCTCAATTTATAATCTTTTCCAGGAATGCTAAATATTTTTGCTTGATCTTTTAGACAGTCTTGACATCTTTCCTGGCTTCATCATTTTAACACCCTTCCATTTTGAGGCAAGGCAGGTTGGGGTTTTTTTTTGGGGGGGGAGGCTTTGGCTGGTTCATGGTTTGGTTTTGAGTAAGCTGACATTCACATCTTCCTTCAAATGTACTAGCGGCCAACAGTTCCGAAAGTGTGATTTTCTTGATTTCTTGAGCAGTTGCATAAATTGAGCAGTTCCTTTAGAACCACACAAGTGTCACATCAAGACCAGAGGTACTGGTTCAGAAGACAGTTGTGAATAAAATGAACAAAATCGGGACAAAAACCATGCATCCAATAAGGACTGTCCAGAAAAACAGGACTGCTAAAGCAAAACTTACAACTGAAACATCCCCATCTTCTGCACTAGGGCTCTGATTAAGGTGTTACTACCTATATAGCATCCATAAAAGAAACAACACTAACTAGAAGGTTTAAATTTTTAAACAGTACATAAAGTATCAAGGTCAGCTCTCTTGTCTTTGAGGGCTTTCATACTGTAATGCAAATGCACAAGGAAAGTTTGATTCTTTTGCATTCAGTGACTAACAGCAGACTGCAAGGCACACATAAACTCAATCCACTAATGTAGCACTAAGACAACTAATGAGCAACTGATTACTACAATACTAGTGTCTCTCTCAGCTGGATAAAAAAAGGAACAAAACCAAAACAATAACCCAAAAAACTTCAACCGATGAGTTCTACCTGGTTGGGTTGATACTATGGATAACCCAGCGCATGTGCCCAGTACAACCACCATGGACCCAAACCTTTGAGACACACTGGAACTTAGGAAAAAACCTTGCCCATCAGCATCCAAAGAAGGGATCTGTCTGGAAAGCTGGCTCTCGTGATTTATCTTCTTAGAAGGAAGTGGCAACCTCTGACAATGGTCTAAATTCTTGCTCTGAAGCCACAAGAACTCACTCTGCTGGCTCCGTATGTGGGCCACACAGAACTATCCCTGTGGGGTCTGGCATCAGCCTTCACCAAGAAAAGCCCAAAGGTGGGGGGTACACATGTTCTTGCAGCTGTAGGGCCCACAAGAAAGTTTGGGCCCTTCATAGGTAAGTGTTAGAGCTTCTAGTCAGTGCACATTTTAAAGAGTATAAAGGATATTTCTTGCCCACCCTAAGAAGAAAACATTATGAATTGGGAACGTGTTCCTCCTAATTGTTTTCCTTCCTAGTTACTATCCTTTAACCTAGCACAAGTCTGCTCCTTAAATGTGGAGGGAAAAGAAAACCCCCAGCTACCTTTGAAAGCGGTGTGTGAAGTGTACTGCTAGTGAAACATTCTCCCACCACAGAGACTAAGTTGAATCTGAGCTTAATCAAAACTTAAACATTTTCTGCTTACAGAAAAGAATGTGTTACCTATCATCGTAACACACATTCTCCCACCGCAAAGAGACTAAGATGAATATGAGCTTAATCAAAACTTAAACATTTTCTGCTTACAGAAAAGAATGTGTTACCTATCATTGTAACATTCTTCCTGAGGCAAAGGGATATTTACATTATTAAAACAGCTTGTTTTCTTGTTATGCAAAACAGTTTAAATACAAGTAAGTGAAGGAGCGCTGTTCTGTGAAAAGCAAAAAAATTCCCAAAAAACCACCCAACCATCAACCAAACCCCAACCAAACCCAAAGCCCATTCTGCCACGTAAGAGCTGTCTCTTACCTCACTTGGGGAAGCATGAGGTAGTGGATGCTTTCAGTATTCTTTTCCTGAACCGAGGCCGGATCAATAAGTGTCTTCAGATTCTGGTACATCAGCTCAGTGATAAATGGAGTATATGGTGCCTGTAATGTTGCATTCAATCATCATCTTTCCTTTATTGTTGGTACATTATGAATCAGTAATGCTTATGAATTGCATAAGGACAGTTCAGCAAAAACAATGCTTACACAGTGTCTTCAATGCAGAACTGTGAGGGGATTCAAAATGCAGACTGAAATAAATGATGAAATTGCTACTTCTTATTCAGCTCCTTCCTGATATTTACTTGTTTTGGGCATCAGCTAAGAAAACATAACATCAGGTGATATTTGCCTTCTTTAGGGTACCACGGGGCAGATAAGCAGATAAAAGGGGAAGGTGGAAAATGAACAGTGATACACAAATCGGTAGCAATGTGTTTTTTCTCCCCATGTGCTCAGTCTCTGTACCCTAGTTTCTATGGTCAACTGAGACACAAAGATGCATGCCTTTAGGTTAACTACATTAAAAACACCAAATACTTATAAGTGGGGTGTAATTCCCTTACCATAAGTCTGCACATGGAGAACAAAACACTAAACAAGGTTTCCAAGGCCATAATGCAATCTTCAGTCCCATTCTCGCCCTATTTGAAGAATTCATCAAGGAAAAAAAAAAACAAACAACAACTGCAATTTAGGATCAGTAAGTGCACTTCCATAAACTTAAAAAGTTTTTTATGTTAAAGCAATAAAGTAATTTTTCAAGCTGTATTCATTTTGCTCAATTGCATCCAGCAAGTGAAACAAGCAGTAGGGTGAGGGAGGTGATTCTGCCCCTCTACTCCTCTCTGGTGAGACCCCACCTGGAGTGCTGAGTCCAGCTCTGGGGCCCCCAACCTAAGGAGGACATGGACCTGTATCCAGCTTTGGGACCCCCAACCTAAGGAGGACATGCACCTGTTGGAGCAAGTCCAGAGGAGGCCATGAAGATGCTCAGAGGGCTGGAACATTTCTCCTATAAGGATGGGCTGAGAGAGTTGGGGTTGTTCAGCCTGGAGAAGAGAAGGCTCCAGCGAGACCTTAGAACCCCTTCTAGTACCCAAAGGGGCTGCAGGAAAGCTGGGGAGGGACTCTTCATCAGGGAGTGGAGGAACAGGATGAGAGTTTTAAATTGAAAGAGGGGAGATTTAGATTAGATATTAGGAAGAAATTCTTCACTATGAGGGTGGTGGGACACTGGCCCAGGTTGCCCAGAGAAGCTGTGGCTGCCCCATCCTCTGGAGGGGTTCAAGTCCAGGTTGGAGGGGGCTTGGAGCAACCTGGTCTGGTGGGAGGTGTCCCAGCCCAGGGCAGGGGGTTGGAACTGGATGATCTTTAAGGTCCCTTCCAACCCAAACCATTCTATGAGCTATAGGGCATTTTGTTTGTTTGGGTTTTCTCATAAAGCAAAGAGGAGAAAAAAAATATTAACTTCTCATTCCCCCTATCAGGTATAAACTGGTACAATTTAAAATGCAGCATTAAGAGTTTGTATAACACCATGAAGCTGCTACACATCAAATTACCACAGACTACGAGGATTTTGTTTACAGTAGAAGATTGCAGGGGTAGACACCTACCTTTAGTCTTCTGCGATTCATTCTAACGTACCAGTTGGTCAGAATATCAACAAACTTCACTAATCGAGGGACTACAGTATAGAGCCTGTAAGCTAGAAGGAAAAACATTTACTGTAGTTAATATTTGCCCTCTGGATCAAGCTCCTCACTTAAAGAAACACATTATCATTTGTAGCTCTGGTGTTAAACATAAAACTTGAGCAGTATGTTAGTAAGACCAAAAAAGTGATTAGACATGCTATCATGCTAAAACCATATTTTGAAACTGCACGTCATCAATTCTCCTGTTTCAAGACAAACACATCTACCACCAAATTGCTTCCCTAATCCTACACAAACACGCATTATGGAAGCCTTATGCTTTTATCTGACTCGTAAAGAGGATAGTGGGTAAGAGACTATTAATCGCAAAGGATTTGGCAAATCCGAGATTTGCACATGCTGTAAATACAGCCAAGTCACTAGCAGTTTAACAGAAATTATTGTAGATCATACAATAAAACTCTATTCATTGTTGCCAACATAGTCTTTTTTCTTCACCAGATTTTAAATGGAACACTTCAACCAATTGCCCCTGAATTAATTGCAATTTTTTATTATTTTTCTAAGTAACACAGTAGGTTAAAAGAATGTAAAGTAACAGCAAGCCTGACGAGGTAAGAAGATAAACATAGCTGTATTTTCAAGTTCTGGGTAACTTAAAAGCATGGAGGACTGCCAACGTGAAAAAGAAGGTCATCACAAGCATCACTATGCAACTGGGAAAACAAATTTCAGTTGCTCGCAAGAGAACTGGGGGGGGTGAGGATGGACTTTAAATAGGACTCAGTTTTCCAAGGAAAAACTTGCATGTCTCTAAAAGCAAAGAGGTTTTTGATCTCTATTCTGCATCTATTTCATTAATCAAGCAGCTACCAAACAAAATGGATCTTTGCTTTAAAAGCTCCATCACACTCATCATTGCATTGTGTTTTGAAAGGCAGAATACTGAGATTTAAACCTAAAAAGGAAATGCTCAGAAGATTCATGCCACGGTGGGGAAGACATTACTTATGTGGGAATTTGTATATCTAAAAAATTCCTCTCTCTCTTCTAGCTATGCATTATATAGTTAGGAGACTTGTTAAAAACAAACAAAAGGCCTCAAAAAACCCCACCCTTCAGGGAGAGCACATCTTTAAAAAGAGATTCAAGTTAGCCTGGAAACGGGCACTTCGCCCCTCAAGAGCTGTAATCCCATTTAATAAACCAAATTGTGAAATCTGACTTTTTCATGACTCAAGAAAAAGGCAAGCACGTACCTGGAACCACGTGCACACACACACATATGCACAGACACACACACACTCCTCTTTCAATTTCAGTTATCAGGAAAAAAGTTATTTTGTAAAATAATTTCTAATATTGGGCACTTAATTGGAAAAAAAACCCGAGAAGAATATTACGGCTTACTGGTTTTAAACAGATAATTTCAACCCCCCCTTAAAACACAAAGGATTGTTTGCCCTATTACTTTCCATAATACCTTCCCAATATCTTTCTACTTGCCCTATTTATCAAAGGGCCCAAATCCTAGAAGTTTCCAAAATAAAAGATGAGTCTTAGTGGAAAAACTGTATTACTGCTCAATAGCAAATAATTCATTTGGATAAGTGAGTTATTATCAATAGGTGATTATCTACCCCAGCTGCTACCGAGGAGGTTACTGGCACACCTCTTCCTAACTTGCAGCACTTATGAAGATAGTGCATCTCCAGCTCCAGTTTTGGGCACCCATCAAACCAGAAGTGATACCCATCAGCAAAAATCTTCCCACAAACACACACACGTATGGTCTCAATACATTTAACTTCTGCCAGTTTACCAAGAATAACTGAAATGGCGCTGCTTTCTGATGTGTTGTCTCCTGTTTCTCCAACTGCACACATTCCAGGAAGCCAAAAGCTCTCCCAAAACCAGGATTAGAAAGGGTTGTTACACCTTCCTCAAGTTTTTCTTGGCTCTCTCAAGCACCCCAGAGTTGGAGGGTGCACAGGTACGTTCCCCTTCCCACTCTCCTAACCAAGTGAGGTCAACACTAAACTGACAGGGACTCATTCTGGCTGAAATACTGCTGGCTCTTCAAGCTATGCGTAGAAACTGGGGCAGAATTAACATAAGTTTTACTTAATGGAAACATTTTTCTAGAGGCAGGCAATCGGCGTAAAATTTAGCTGCGCTATAAAATACACTTGATTAAATGGAAGCAGCTAAGCTCAGCTGCAACATTTTTCTGGTCAGTGGCATCTCCTTGCCATTTAGAGTCTCAGGCTTGTATGTTCTTACACAAATCACACACGCAGTGCAGATCTGGCCTTTTCTGTGACAGATTTTGCCCAAAATCCATGGAAGCAGCTAAGCTCAGCTGCAACATTTTTCTGGTCAGTGGCATCTCCTTGCCATTTAGAGTCTCAGGCTTGTATGTTCTTACACAAATCACACACGCAGTGCAGACCTGACCTTTTCTGTGACAGATTTTGCCCAAAAATCACCTCAATCCCACTACCTCCCCCATGGCTTTGGCATGACAAAGACAACACTTTTTTTTTTTTACGTTTCCTGCAGGTACCAGAGTTGTATGGAATTAGTTGATGGACACAATCATTTATTTCTGCTGACATCATGCCACATCTACAACAGCTTCTGTATTTGTTTATTGTTTTTTTCATTATTGGCATTGTTTTCAAAATCCTGGGTTCTCAAATGAAGCTTGTGTAGTCTATTTATCTCCTTTACCTAGCACTTGAGGTTATCAGTCACCATAATAACCTTCCCTTGCCTCTTCCTGACATTTTTCCTACTTCAAGGCATATGAAGTGGGAAATCTAATAAAAAGAATCCCAAACTAGTTTCCTAAAAAAGATTAGCACAAGAGTACCATCTCACAGTACACAAATTTAATGCATCTCATTAATATCTGTCTGACTGAATTCAGAGTTTACGCAGAAAAATAAATTGAAAATCACATTTATTAGTCACTTCCAAATTGGATGTGTCACCCGTTTGATGAGCACATCATGTTATCTTCATCTAACACAAGACAATAGCATTTAATACCAGCACTACAGTCTTGAAAGTCTTTACGTTGTCATTTTCCAACAGGAATGTTCTCCTCCTGCTTGGAAGGATCTCCTTCCTTTGTAGAGATGTCAGCTGACACATCCCTTTTTATTAGCTTCATCTTCCTCTTAGAAATCCAGAGCAGAGAATTCAAGGTTCTACATCCTCCCCCCTCCTCCAGCTCATCTTCTTGCAAATACTATTTCTGTTTAAACCATGCACTAACCCAAGATCCCAGTTACACACATTCACAAATGAATTTTCCGCTGTCCCTCAAAGTATTCTCTTCACATGCAGCACATAAACTTGCACAGGCTCTGCATATAGCTGTTTGACAACACATGAAACTCCATACACACCATCATCAAATTTCAAGGACAAAAATTCTAGGAAAAAGCCACATTTTCATCAAAAACAGCCAGCCTTTATCTTATTCCTGGCTTTGGTAGCTTGAGGATTCTTTCTTACTTTAATGAAATGTTCTTAGATGACCTCACCTGAATTTCGTTATTACCAAAATGACCTGCTTTATCTGCTGTAGCAAAATAAACTCATCTTACTGGTCTTGGTGAGAGTGAACATCATGCCAGTCTAAGGGGGGGGGGAATACAAGAGACAGCTGAAGCAGAGGAGGACTGAACTGTGTCCTCATAAACTCCGGTCTGGTATTTAGTTGTTTCCTCATTATCTATTATCTCACTAATACCTTCCTTCCCCGAAGCTTAAGCACACCTGCGGAAGGCTCCTAAAAATTCTTCCAAGGGCAATTTAAGATCACAGGCATGGGGGGAGTTGGTTTTTTATTCATAAACAGGAACTACAATGGCAAAAGCCACCTTCTTTCCAATATCCAGGTTTCTAGTGCCCTTAAAGGGGGCACTTCTTCATATCCTTTTGTGACTTTACCTGCAAGCTTGTAAGCACACTGGATCAGACCAACTGCAAGAGCTACAGGGGACTCTTGCAGCACCTTCTCTTTGCAATTAATATTGTCTTAATATGTGAGAGTTGAGAGATGTGGGATGATGAAAAGGTAACATGCAGGAAGAAAACCAATGCAATGTCCTAATGTTATTCCATCCTGCTGCATACACTCCCAATGTGATTATAAAGAAAGTCTCTCCATGGCACTGTGCAGGGGAGAATTTATTCCCTGTGCTCATGTACCTCTCAAAATTATTTTATTTTGCTGACTTGAGCACTGCCCATTTTATCCTTTTTTAACAGCTTCCCTAAATTCTATTTGGCTTCCTTTTCACTGCTGTCTTTCAGTTACTATTATATTATTATGAATTGCTCCAAGCACTGCAGGAGATATTGATACAGCAAGAAACTACATCACTGAGCTCATAGGATTAGCAGTGACAAAGAAAAGCCTCATCACTTTTTGAAATCTCATGAACAAGCATAGCAAAATCTTTATTTACACCCATGACAGCAGCATTCCATGTATTACCGAAGCTGGTTAAAGATTTCCTTCCTTTTACCTTAAGTCACATGTGGAATCTGGAAATCTCTGGATGAAATGGCTAGTTCTCTAACCAAAAATAAACCACCCGTACACACACCCGCCCAAACACGTGCCTACCTGCCATTTCAGCTTTGAAGAACTGAATGAGCGATTGGGTGAAAGAAAGAATCCATTTATCCATGATGTTACTGCTCTCCTTAACTGTGTTCTCATTGTAAAGGAATTCTCTTCCCTCATCCTATCATCAACATAAAAACACAAAACACATGTTTCAAGTTATAAGGGTACATATATCCAGACCTCTTTATTGAGCCCCCTGTCAGCCACTAATATTTTGTCACCTTCGCTGTGTTATACTGAGAGAACATCAAATTCCAGAAACATGTACGTCAGAGAAATACAGCTACAGAAAAGCTGACTCCCACTGCTGCTGATTTCACCACACCGTACCTTCAGCTACAAAGGAGGCCAGTTATTTGGATCTGTTAAAGCAGATGAAAAGTAGCCCAGCACACAACGGCATGCAGGCGCTCCTTCCCTGTCTGCAGCGTAACTCATCGCTTCCAGACACAGGCCACGACTCTCGAATTTACGTAAGTCTTTCATCTAGGAGGATCTGAAGCATTTACAAGAAATGTACTACGAAGATGAATTCTATTTGGGGAAAGGGCATACAAACAGCATATTCATTATTTTTTAAGGCCTGTGATAATTTCAGCAGATTAAAGCATAGAAGATCGTAAAAACATGAAAACAGAGGTGGAATTTTCAGGCATCCAACACGCACGTAGGGCCTTTTGCTGCTTTCCAGAATACTGATGTTTGCACCCATCTGAGAAATTTCCTAACACTTTGCAGGCTCTGTCAGGCATTGCAGGCAAGACCATAAGTAAACACAATTGTTGGTGCCTACAGTCTGATTCCTTTCCATGTGAACTTTCTTATGACTGGTTGAAAACAGGGGGGTTGTTTGCTTTTTTTCTTTTTTCCAGATTTACAAACACTGTTTAACATCCCGTTTTGAGTCTTTGGACTTTCCCTTCTCTCAAAGTCCAGATTTAAAAAAACTGTTTGGATTATTTGACCCAATAATTATACATCCACTTATACAGTATCAAGGAGAAGGTTCTTAGGAAAGACTTGCATCTGCACACCCAGAAGTGTAGCAATCCCAGTGTGAGATCAGCAATCATTTAACCAACTGCAATTACTGTGGTCATTACAGTAGCCATAAACTTATTATTAAACTTCATCCAGGACACTGAGATTGTAGTTTCTCTCTTGTAGGAGGCAGAATACAATGAAGAAGTTGTTTAAGTCTGTGCATGAAATCTAATTTAAGCACTATCACCTCCAACAGCACATTCTTTTGCCTAATATGGTGCATAGGAATGGTTTCACCATCCATTTAGAAAGAAAAATTAATTCTGCTGAATTACCAAAACTAAGTGCTTCAGCACCTGGATTTTCCACCAGGGTCTTCCATTCCCAACTTGGCTGATCTTTCAAGATTTAATGGGATCACAGCAAAAAGCTGCAAATCACACTTTAGATAATTCAAAAGGTCAACCAGGAAAAACTGAAGTATATTTTTGGGGCAATGTGTAAGTTTGTCTGATGAATGCTGTCTAGGGATCCTAAAAAAAGATTTGTTAAATATTAGCATCCAAAGTTACCAGACTTTCTTCCCAAAAGGAGTTGTTAAAAAGATAAAACCATTTATTGAAGTCAGTTATTTACTGTAGTCAGCTGCTCTTATTGCTTCAAATGGCAGGTCTCCACAGCAATTAGGCTGCTACTGTAATTTCATGCATAGTACAAGGTTTGAGCTTTTTTGCTTAGTTCCCACTGTCCCATAAAAGTCTGCACTAACAAGTGGTAACCTTCTATCATTAATCTCAGGCTGGAAGATTAGAATTCGTTTCAACAGAAACTATACAACATACACATAAAATCTTCAATTTAAATGAAAAATTACTGTAAGAGGAATTTTAATCCTGCTTTCATTCTGAAAGTGTAGAAACTCACGTGACTCACCCAACATTTTTTGTAGACTTCAAATGTAATTTACAAGTCTAAAGCATTATTGCTTTTATGATGCTTTACCTTGCTTTCCATTCCATTCCTTCAATTTTTTTTCCTGAGTTGTATTTAAATTTAACTTTTAAAAAAATTAACTGTCATGTTACAGAAGGCAATCTTCTTGCTGTGGCTAATGCATTCAGTATCAAGTATTCCCAAGTTAAACATTTTTATGCAGATTCATAATTAAAGTTACAGTAAATGAGTTAGCTCAATAAATTGTCACAGCAGCCGCTACTGAAAATAACTTTCTTTTCATTACTTATTTGCAGTTCTCTTTGTGTTAAATTTGTCTGCTATTAAGCAACATTCTGAATGCAGAGAAACTTGCAGCCCAGATGCCATCCCCTGACAGCATCCTTCCTGCGACGTAGCCGTGCCTGGCTACATGACACAGGGCAACAGCAAAGGAAAAGCAGCAGCACTCAAGGCACTATTAGTGCCACTTAATGCCTCCAAGCTACTACACAAACACTGATAAGACAATATCCAGAAAACCAACAAGGCTTAGGATGGATATTTCAGAAGGATTCCCTGGAGCACACGTGGTACCTGGCTTTTAACTGGTGTTCCCAGCATGGTAACTGCTTCGTAAGTATTAACCCTGCAAACGCTTTTCCTCTAATTTTAAGAATCTGAATGCAATAGCCTCACATTTATCTCAAATAAAAGGGGATCAATAGCACCCCAATCTGAGAAATGAGAGCTGTTACGTCTTGACAGTCCCCTACTGTCCACTCCTTCTTTCCATATAATAATAAGTTTGGTCAAGAAAAGAAAGATGCATTGTGATTATAGCTTTATAAAACAGGGTGCAAAGAGCAAATAACACAGAAATTAACAGCGAGTAGATCGAACCTGAGCTAACTTTGAAGTCAGCCTTGCTTCAAACAAAGAGGTGAAGAACAGATGACCTCCAGAGTCAGAGTCCAGACCTCCCTCCCAATCTAAATTCCTCTACAGTGCTAATTCACTCTAACAGTGGAAAAAGCACAAAGTCCCTTCCACTTTGCCTTTCCATGCTTGGGAAACCTGTACCTTATGTTGCAGGATCTGGACGTTCTGCACGAGAAAGCGATATGCATTGTACCAGGGCAGGAAGACATCCTTCAGTATGTCCCTCACTCCTTCCTCCTTAAATCTCAGATTTTCTGCTCTTACCACAGGAGAATTGATCAGGTATAACCTGCAAAATACGAACACAATATTTAAAAGCTTAAAACTGTGTGTAGCGATAGAAATGCACTTAAACATACCCAAGGAAGCAGTTTCACACTCACTCTAAGGAGGATAGTACTGTAAGCACGTAACATATATCACAGTTTACTTCCTAGCGCTACAGGATTATTTTTATGATACTGCATATGCAATTTGAATGAGAATTTAAATATTTTTTTACTCTAGAAGTTGACTGAACACACACTCAGATGCTCTGGGGAGACTTTATAGCGGCCTTTCAGTACCTAAAGGGGGCCTACAGGAAAGACAGGGAGGGACTCTTCATCAGGGACGGTGGCGATAGGATAAGGGGCAACAGTTTTAAACTCAAAGAGGGGAGATTTATGATAGGATAAGGGGCAACAGCTTTAAACTGGAAGAGGGGAGATTTACATTAGATATTAGGAAGAAATTCTTTACTGTGAGGCTGCTGAGGCACTGGAACAGGTTGCCCAGAGAAGCTGTGGATGCCCCATCCCTGGAGGGGCTCAAGGCCAGGCTGGATGGGGCTTGGAGCAACCTGGTCTGGTGGGAGGTGTCCCTGCCCAGGGGGGTTGGAACAAGATGATAAGTTCCTTCCAGCCCAAACCATTCTACAAATCTATGAACTAGTGTTCATCTTTAGAATAGCACTTACTGTTTCAGTAATATTTTCAATTCTTTAACAATGATCCAGTACCTTTCTAATCAGTCTAGTTAATTTCTTCAGTTATAAAAAGCTTTGGTCTATTGCAAACATAGGGCTAAGGAGCAAGGCAAACCAGGCAAATCAAAGTAAAAGAGAAGAAATTAATGTTTTCAAGAAAAATAGCCCAAGAAGAGGACACAGTGTGTAACCCTACCCATACAAATGCGCCTCAGCTCCAGAGACAGCTCTAGAAGAGCAGAGGATTCAGGTGACACTGACAACTAATAGCAGAAGCAGCTCCTCACAGAATCATGCCCACCTCAGCCAATGTGGGGGTCATCTATACATGAAATCCACCCTGTCCAGGGAGATCCTCCCTGAGTCAGTCCCTTTCAGGCAAACAGTTCCTCATTCCAGAGACACAGACGTGTTCCCCAGCTTCCTTGCTGGCTGTGAGTTCTCAAAAAAATCATTTTTGTTCTTTATCCCATCTTATTCCCTAAACAAATACTCTTCCTATGGAGACAAACTGGTATCTATCAAGTTAACTCAAAAAGAAATCTGGTCTTAGCAAAAAAACCCTTGAATACAAATTTGATTTAGATACACTTCCTTTAATTTACCAAATATGAAAAACAAACCAAACAACTTTATTTTAAACACTGTGGCATTTCTCAATAGACATTTATTAACTCATTTCCTCACATTTTATCAACTTCAAAAATCATGATTCTAAACTAATATATCTTTACAGGCACTTCCTTTAGGAGGCTTTAAAATCTTAATGGGGTTTGACACAGCACATTCAAGAACACCAGACCATAAATTTTAAAGGAGAAGCCTTCTTGCATAAAAATGAATACATAAAAATAGAGCTGCCACAGTAAACAGGCAGTAATGCAGCACCAAAATGGGCATTTTCAGTACTGCATTGAGGAAAAAAAAAGTGAAAAAAAAAGTATTTTTATACATGGTATCTGAATTCCAATTATAAATTTACAAAAGTACAGAGCAATTAAGCATGATAATGAAGTAGTAAGTCCTTAAATGAAACTAGAAAGTGTAAATATGTATTTAAAGCAAGCGTCCCACCACAATTATTTATGTGCTTGTTACTCATTATTTATTTCAGATGTCAAACATAATTTTGCTCCAAATACGAGAGCTAGTCTGGCCCCAGGACACTCCAGGCTTTTTACCAGTTTGGTACCTACCCTAGAACAATGACCACTTCTAATTGCCTCCTCTGCTTTCCTCCTGAGGAGGCAGCGATGCAAACTAATCGGAACCATGAAGGATCCACTAAATTGCTCCTTTGTACCCACCCCAGCAGCATTCGCTGCAGAGTCTATCAGAAGTCTTCCTAAAATAGCTCTTAGGATGAGAAATTAAAGAAAATGTAGCTCTCAAAGGCTACAGTTTTAGTCTGGGTTTTTTTTAACATAGCAGCCCTACACGGACTTGCAATATGTAAATTTTAAAAGAATACTGATTTCCTGAATTATTCCAATGCAGACACACCTATTATATGGAAAAAGAAATAAAGCATCAAATAAAGGAAGATTTCTATTAATTTAGTTACACCTATTTAACATAGCAGCCCTACATGGACTTGCAATATGTAGATTTTAAAAGAATACTAATTTCCTGAATTATTCCAATGCAGATACACCTATTATATGGAAAAAGAAATTAAGCATCCAATAGAGGAAGATTTCTATTAATTTAGTTACACCTAGTGATATTACCAATGGAGCAGAAAATAAAACCTTCTTCAAATAAAGCTAGTATTATCAAGTTTTCTAGCAACGTGTGAGAAACAACAAAGTAACCTCCTTTTCATCTCTCTAAAACAGTTGTCTGTGGCATTATGTTATTCCTTCTGCATTTTAACAACAGATTGAGAGGAGAATGTAACATATCACTTCTAACAGCAATACTTCCCTCAGGACACATGAAGCAAAGGGCTTGTAAACACTACGACCAGCAAATTCTCTTTCTGGCATACTTCAACTTTGACAGCTATCCAACCCCAAGTCACAGGTCTTAGGAATACTGAAACACTACTGGTTTTGACAATTCTCACAGGTTTGACAATTCTCACAGATTCCCTTTTCAGAAGCCTGAAACTGGGTTGTTAAATTTACTGTGCTGTTATTTCTTCTGTTTGCCCTTTCCATTTAATTCCATATTCATTTAAACTTCATACATCTATATTTTCTGCTGATCTATTTATCAAGCTACTGCTGAGAATACTTCAAAGCTGTGGTTTAAAAAAAAAATATATATATGTACTGCAAAAGCTAAAGTAACTCTGCAGGGAAACAGTGCCAAGGAAAAAACTCAGTTGTAGCTTTTTCTGTAAACAGAACACATCAAGCGCTTCAGTGAATAAGCGGAGACAACTGAATCACAGAGCTCCTTCCATAAATGAGCCTGGTCTGCAATGCTTTCTACTCTCTATGTGGGTGTATGTATAAATAAATGTGACATTAAAGAATGAGTACACAGGCAGAAAAATGAATTAGCTCTTTAGAAATCAAAAAACCATGAATAATGGAAGTCTAACTTCTGGTGTTTGAGATTTTTGGTTGTTTTTTTTTTATAAAAAAGGCAGACTTTTTTCCAATGGAAACATCACCTGTGATTTAAATATCTCCAATATGAGTAACTCCAACCCTTTTTGCTCATACCGTTCCAGCTATCAATTCACTGATGTCCTGCTAATAGACCTTGATTATTTGTAAAGAACAACCTTGATCAAATTTAAGAAATCCACCAAACTCTCCATTGTAAACATGTATGAGAAGATAATTTCCTAGGTCTTCTAAATGCTAAAGCTTGCAACAATAAGGAACTTCATATGTATTTTTTTAAAATCATCTATGAGAAGCAACAACCATCTTTCTTAAACAAAAAAACCATGGTACACTAAGCTTTCATTCAGCCCAATCATTCCCATGTATAGTTGTAACATGCAATTCAATCCGTGTGATAGTTTAAGGTTTTCTTATATATAGCAAGAATTACAGGGCTCTTGAGAAATGCTTAAGTAGTGTACTCCTCCAGTTATTAAATTGCCTTTATTGCACCTTTACCTCAAGGTACCACTTCGTGCATGTAGTTAGTGCATCCAGCCAAAGGACCAGGCAACTGCACAATTATGTTTATACGTTAGTGTGATTTTAATGAAACACTTGAACTGTGTTTAATCTCTGTTTGACCAGCACAATTTATATATACACATTAGGCTGCTCCACTTCTGCTTTTCTGGTTTCACTGCTATTAGGTACACACTGTATACTTACAGGAACAAAAAAGAAACACTTTCTGTTTAGAAAATGCATAGTATAAGCAGCAAACAAACATTTCTGTGCATTATACAGTAATCCTTTCCTAAAATAATGATTTAATAGTAAACTAATGGTGGTGTTCTCAAAGATTTCATTCCATTTTTCACTGGGTCAACTCAGACTATTAGTCAGTGCTGGCTCAAGTGGAAGAATTCCATACAAAGGGGACAATTTTCTGACAAAAGGCCTCAGCATGTCAAGCATGGTTGTTACCAGTCTTGAGGGAGATAAGACAAGGGTACAGAAAGTCCAGGCACTGTAACTATTGCCAGTTCTTTTGACTCATCCACCCTTTCAGCCATTTGGCTGCCATAATGGTCTAGAAGTTTCTAAAATTAACTTTCTTCCTACCGCTAACGGTCAGAAACCCATATATGCCCTGCTGGTGCATGTCTGCTATGAACAGAGAGCTAACACATGAGATTGAATGTTAATTAAAGAAATCCTACCTTAGTGCATCAGCTCCGTAACTATTTACAATACTCATTGGATCAGGATAATTCTTCTTCCGTTTGCTCATTTTCTGGCCATCACTAGAAAATATCAGAAAGTAGGCATAAATTCTAAGAGTTGTTTTAATACATGGATAAAGAAAAAGGGCCTTTCAAATCCAGATTAGTTTTTCTATCCTATTATGCCCTTGGTAGCACAGACATAAAGGCCTTTCAAATCAATTTAAATTAATTTGATTAATTCAGTTTAATTTTTCTGTCCTATTATGCCCTTGGTAGCACAGACATAACCATATATTAGCACATTGTTTCAGTATGACAGTTGAACCCACGAGAGCAACTCAATAAAAAAAACACCAACAAACAACCCAAGAGGCTCCCAAGTTGCAAATCTAAGCAGGAAATCTGTCTTTCCTACCAAAGCAGAGGGAAGATGCAGTTGTTTTGAATCAATCCCTCCAGCCCATTAGCAAAGCTTTATTTGAAAAGAAAGGGAAACAAATATAATTAATTTATTTAAAATTGCATCTAAAATTACCTGTATAATCCCCTTTACTCTGCATAACAGGTATCGTTTTTTTCCTATTCTGACTTATTATTCATTTGCTCTCTCTCTCAGGAGGACTAATCTTGCTGGGAAGAACCTAGTGCAACAGAGAGCAGGGACATGTAAACCTCACAATCTCAAGTGCCCCTTTACCTTCTGCAACACTGATACCTCCCTGAAAAGTCCTAACAGCTCCAAGGTCCATTTCAGATTTCTTTTACAATTCACAGGAATTTATCTGAAATATTCTTTGATTAAAAATCTGTTTAGGAAAGAACATACCAACCTGGCAAGGACGAGGCCGTTCACAATTACATTCTTGAAAGGAGGCCTTCCAAAAAGAGCAGTGGAGAGCACCAGCAAAGTGTAGAACCTGAAACAAGAGACAACGTAGATGTGACTTTCTAAATACACCAAGCTGGAGTCTGCATGTCCTTCATTACGAAAGAAAATTTTCATCATGTTGTTCTACTCTTGCAAAGTTAAGATTTGAGTAAGTGGAATATTTATGTGGCAAAGACTCAGGAAAGGAGCTTATTGTAAGTAGACCTTTTTCTTCCCTGTAGCGTATCGTGCTGTTTGCTCAGCTGGGATCTACTAGTCCAAGAAGGCTGAAGAATTGTAATAGTAAGTATTAGGAAGGTTGTGAAGAAGAAATGTGTAGCACTTTTCCCCTTTAATACAGAAAATACAGGGCAGTAGGGCGTTCCACACTCTCCCCCTTGCCGCAATCTGATGTGTTTACAATACCTGTATAAACTACCTTGGATGCTTAAGAAATGAGTGTTGGAGCAAGCACAGGCACCTACTGTTCAATATGTCGATATATGATTGTATCTGAGAAATTAAGGTCCAAGACGATGTGATAATTTCATACTCAGGAGTCAGAACCTTCACCAAAGTGGGTATCTATGAGCTTCTGTAACCACACTGATGGTAATGACTTTTAAGAAAAGAACTGGAGGGTGGGCCACAGCTTTCCTAGTTAAAAATGAGTATAACACTGACAATTGCTTAGCAACCTTAAACCAGCAGATGATTATACGAAAGCTAATTGATTTAGAATAAGGCACAGGAGGTTATGCCTCAGAACTATGCATTTGCATGAAGATTTAGTGGAGAAACACTTGAGTGAAAAAAAAAAAAAAGTCCATCTGTATATTCCAAGCAGTTTTTATCAAAAAGCTGCCTGTAATGGCAAAAGCATTATTGTGACACTTGAGGGTCCAAGGTGCTGGATTTATTAAGCAGCTTAACACGACAACTCTGATGCTTCTCTTTCAGACAAGCTTTTAACACTCAAAATCACCTCAATTCACACCGCACAATACAAATTATCTTTATCAAATTGCACTGTAATTTCATGAATTTAAGCAGCACTCCTCCACTTGCAACACAAACACACGTACCCAAAATCCCCGTCTTCCTTTTTAAGAAAACCCCCTAAACACAAACATCTGAGCAGTTACTGGGATGATCGACACCTCGAGCCTCCAAGACTGACAGTTCATTACAAACACAGCAGGATTCAGCATTTCATATGAAGGTACCTCATTGACAAACTCGCACCACTTTCTGCAAACTGGTGGCAAATTCTCCTATTAGAGCAAGTGCCTTTGCAATTAAAAAGAACAAAGCAGAACAAAGCAGAAGAGATGTCAACACTGTTTGTATTAGCAAAATTGTACAGACGGACCGTGGGCACTGAAAAAATACATCCAAGAACTTTTCACAAATTTTTAAGTTATTTGCATTGTCAAACCCAATGAGCATCAGCAATGAGGCACCTTAGTTGATGACAGTTGTAAGACTGTCTCTGAGATCCTGCGGTCCACCTGTTTACACACAATCCTGAAATAACTCTTGTCTTTCTCAGATTCTCCTTTTAAAAAAAATTCACCTCACTCTCAGTATTTTAAAGGAGCATCTCTCTGTACCTCATTTTTGACAACTTTCTTGACTAATCTCTGCTGCCTCATCTTCCATTTACCAAATCTCAGCCTGCTTGTAGTTATGTCTGTGAAGGTATATAGCTGTCAGGCAAAACAATAGTAAAAACCCTTATTAGCAGAGACAGAAGTCCACTTTGCTCTTTTTCCCTCCTCTTCCACTTGCCCCAAAGGGAGGAAAACATTCCCTCGCTGTTTTCTCCTTTCTTTAACAACTGTGGGTAAATTCATAATCCTTTGCTTCATGCCAAAAACCTCTTTGCTCTTTTTCCCTCCTCTTCCACTCACCCCAAAGGGAAGAAAGCATTCTCTTGCTGTTTTCTCCTTTCTTTAACAACTGTGGGTAAATTCATAATCCTTTGCTTCATGCCAAAAACCTCCAGCCACCACATTCTGACCATGACTTGTTGCACCTCCCTATATACAGACATGGCATTTTTCCTATCAATCCATCCAGACTCCCACTCTTGCAACCCAACAACTCTAAGATTTTTTTTTTTCCTCTGGCCTTAACAAATATAATTCAGCTCTTTCTCACATCCATGCAGAAAGTAATCAAAACCATCATTCTCCTAGCTCATCACCTTGGCCATATTATTTTTTCTCTTGTCTCCCTTGACACTCTTCCTTTCTCTCGAGTCAAACAGAAGCCACCAGATCTCCACCTCCCAAGCTTTTCAACACCTACCGGTCCTCACTTCATGTCAGCTGCAGTTTCTGACCTGACACAAACCCAACCTTCATTCTGAATCTTAACACTTTATACAGAATACTTCAAATAATAAAAAAAAAAGAGGAAATCACATACTGTACTCTTAACACTTTGGAACACACCAGCTTGTTCACTTAGGTCTATTATGATACAGCGCTGTCACACCGGCAGAAAAGATACACATCTTCTCTTCAGAATTTTTTACAAGGCATAGGAAAAGGCACCTAAAAGCCTAACAGTTTTATAATGAGAACCCTTCTTAAGAACAATCTGAGAAAGCTTTACCTTTTACCAAAAAAACCCCATTACCTCACATTTTAATTCCATCTTTCTTTCACAAAAGTGCTCTTTTGCAAATCACGGAACCCCAGCTGGTACCAAAGGACCAGCTTATTCACAGAGGTGAGCACCAGGGGAAAGGAAGAAGCATTATATGTTGATACTGGGCTCCAACCCAAGCACAGCAGGTGTGGGTCTACAGCCACAGAGTCACCACTAGCATTAGTGTCAGCTTGGACTTCTCTTTTTAATATTCCAGGGCCAATCTTCAGCTGAATTAGTGATGTGATTCAGTTCAGCCCACTAAGGAATGGGAAAGAAGTCCCTTTGAGCAGCAACTTGCAGACAGGTCAACATCAGTGAACTGAAATCCACAGATTACATTTGTTGTTTAAAAAGAAAGAAAATAACTTTATAAGCCAGAAACATGATAGTTTAGTGGATCTGGATGTTGCACAGCACTCAAGTTTAAATTAATATCACACTATAAAAAGGCCAACTTGTGTAAAAATTACAAATGCATTCTTTAATGGCACCAGAGAGCTTCACTGGAGGCATATGAGAGCAGACTTATCTTTTCATCTGTCATCTCTCCCACACATGCTTCAAAGCACAGCACTAAAAGAAACACTGCAGAAAGTGAGTGTGACACATACTAATCCACTGTGATATCCCAACATCAAATAGCTAAAACCCAAAACCTAAAATTTATCATTCTTCCTATATTTTTACTGGAATTGTAATGACCAGGAAAAGATTTTATATCCACATAAAAATCCCAAAGCATTTTTAATTCTTTTGAACTTTTACAACTCAATAGCTCCCTTGCACAGTGTAATCAATTATTACATTGCAGGGTTTTTTTACATTTGTTTTCATTTTTTGGCACCTAAATTACAATCAATGTCCTTTTATCTTTATAAAATACAAAAGAGAGAAAATCAGTTTCTGATTATGCCTTCTGCATGTATTTTATACGTATTTATCATGTGTTCTTTTATTTGTCTCTTTTCTTAAAAAACAAAAAACAACCCCCCAATTTCCTATTTTTTTTTTGAGATAGAAGGAAAAAATTAAAAAAAAAGGGAAAACCTAAGCTTTTAATTCTCCTTTCATGCACATAATGAACAACGTTGCAGAAAGACTAACACATGGACTCACTAGTATTGCCACTTTTCAAGCTATTGTTCTCCATTCCTTCTTCATTCTAAGCCTGTACAATCTCCCGTCCCCAAAGCACAGCTCCCCCAGAATAAGCAGGTTTTCTCCCAGATGAACAAAACCTAACACTTTTCTTCAAGATGAAGCACGTATTAAATAATATGGCATATAACATTCCATTTTATAGTTAATATTTCCTAAATTAGCGTTTGTCAAATTAAATGCTGTATCCACATGCTGCATGCAACAGTAAAGAAATCAAAGTAAATGAAGCAAAATAAAGAAATGTAGAGTTCACTGTATGCACTCAACCCAATGCTGCCTGAAGAACAACAAGCAAGAAATAGTGACCTGCAAATGAGATCAGGATGTCCCTCTGCTGCTGGGTTTTATGCTACTCAACAGTACTCAGTTGTACACTAACACTGAAAAGCACCATGACTAATAAGCTGTGATTTATAATTGTAGAGAGCACAAAATAAAAGATAACACAAACGGATGGCCTAAGAAAGACTACTTTTTTGGGGGGGGGTGGAATAATGATTAATCAGCATCACTATACATGTAAGAGGCCAGATTCAGACAGGAATTGGAGTACTTTATCACTTTCATTAAAAAAAAAAAAGTGCTTTAACTAAGTTCATCGGGTTGCCCTAATTCTGGCCTATGTGAATTACTGCCTTGAGGACCCATTAGAAACACAATGCACAACACTAGGTAAGGTCCAGCTATATTCTGAAAAAGTATTTAATAAGCCATGAAAAGTCCATGTTTTACTAAGTGAGACTGAATTGGTCCTTTCCTAACTGCCAAACTTGTAAATCTAAGTTCCATTTTGAGGACCTAGATCATTTTTTGCATCACAAGGGGTTGCAAAGACACCTTTTGCTACATTCATGAAACTTATTTAGCATCATGGCTCAAACGTCTCCTTGCTCAAGCCTCCTGGCTTTGAGAGTATGTATAAACCTTGCTCTCAACTTCACAAACACGCAAAAACCCACAACTTACTGCTTTGTTTGTGTTGGTTGCTTTGTTGGAGAAGTAGAGGAATGGGCAAAAGGAGGTGCCAACTATGCCTCAGAGGAATTTAGTTTATTTAATACTAATAACTCAAGTTACTGGATGGAAGAATTCTACTCGTACATAGTCAAATGTACAAATATAAAACCCACAAAAATTCATCTTAAAAATATGTTGGTTTTCACAACCACCCTCAAATTTCAAAAATAGAATAAACACTTAAAAATGCAAAAACTAAAAGTATATGTATGCATGTACCCAGAGAAAATCTGAGATTACAAAAAAATTTTCATCAATGATTGAAAAGCATTTATCCAGAAAGGAATCAAAATAAGCAGATGAAGTTTTCAGTTAGAAAATTTCATTCGTGTAAACAATAAGATCTTAAAAATTTAAGGTTTGGCTTAAATTTGCTTATTCCCCACTCGCATAAACCCCAAATTCAAGTTTAATCTAGGGGACAAACATTGTTAGCCATTTGCATACTAGCATTTACACTGCCTTGAAATCCTCACAACACTGACTTCCATTTCAACTGACTCAATTGCTGTTCTGTTTCTAGTAGATAACTCAAGTTCTATAAAAACTCAGATGCTGAGATTCTTCCTGACCAGGCCAGAGATCTCCTCTATCACCTAATGATGTTTTCCACAAGAGCTGGAAAGATTGCTTGATAACATGTTGTCTTTCTGCAACATATTTGTCACCAAACTGTAGAATAGCTTGCATTTTACTGAGAAAAAGAAATCATAAACTTATTTATACAACATTAAAGGATCATCCCAGATGTAATGATGTTAGAAGAAGGGTAATAACATCACATAGTAAAGCGGCAGAAAATTACCATCCTCGGGTTTGGTCGATGCCTTCAGCAATGAAGTCAGCAGGGAAAGCATCTTCAAGTTCTTTTTTGTTTTCAAAGGGGTAGTGGACCTGTGCGTACGGCATGCTGCCGCTCTCAAACCAGCAGTCAAACACTTCAGGGACCCGGCGCAGCAAGCCCTTGCCGCAACGTGAAGGGATAGTCAGGTGATCAATGCTACAGGTAAGAAAAAGATTGACAAATTCTAAACAAACCCAAGAATTAGCACAAAAAGTTAACATAACGCTTGCACATTAGGCATGACAGGAGTTCTGGTTTTAATTTTAATGTTTCTTCAAAAAGGCCACCATTTCCTTTGACGTTTTTTCTAATTTAATGCTATTTTAGAGATTTTTTGGATTAACAGTGTCACAGAATCACAGAATCTTCTAGGTTGGAAGGGACCTTAAAGATCATCTTGTCCAACCATCAACCTAACTGACAAAAATAGACACCCACACAACAAACAAGAAGCATCACCATCACTAAACCATATCTCCCAGCACTACATCAACCCGTCTTTTGAACACCTCCAGGGATGGTGCCTCAACCACCTCCCTGGGCAGCCCATTCCAATGGCTGAGAACCCTTTCAGTGAAAAAAATTTTCCTAATATCCAGCGTGAACCTCCCCTGGTGTAACTTGAGGCCATTTCCTCTCGTCCTGTCGCCTGTGACTTGGGAGAAGAGACCAACCCCCATCTCTCTATACCCTCCATTCAGGGAGTTGTAGAGAGTTGTAGAGAACAATAAGGTCTCCAAGGTGTCCAATACAGAGGAAAGGAAAATTTATACATATTAATCACAAGTCCTCTTACTACTTCTCTATTTTCCTTAAATCTGTTTCCCAGGGTTTGGGCAAAGAAAGCCAGTATTTTTTATGTCTACTCAACTCTATTTAATAACTAATTAACAGCCTCTGTGACTGACCTTTCTCGATGGAGATCAGTGACTTTCACTCCAGACAGCTCTTCCAATTCTGCCATTGAACCAATGCAAACCACCTGTAAGAGACATTCAAGAGAATTAGTCAGTTGTTTGCCCGCAGTAGCAATTTGGTTTTTAACATTAGACAGGAGACTTGTAGGTCAGTATCTTCTGAAGTAGCTGATACAGCTGAAAAGCCAACAAAAATTTTGTACAAAGTCCCCTTCTTCAAACTAAGAAAGAAGGAATTGATTGGAGAGACCACTACCCTGATTTAGTACAATTCATGTCAGAATAATTGAAGACTTCGAAGAACAAGCATGTTGTCAGGTATCAAAAAAGGTAGGGCTTTGTTGTTTGGGTTTTTTTTTTCCAAACAACTGACAACACAAACACCCCTGAAAACTCAATGACCCTGACTTTTATACAGATAGGAATTTCAGATGCCAAGTTCCTCTTCTGAAGCGAAGGTAAGCAGCTAAATTGCTCATAATTGAGCATAAGTGTTCCATTCCAGGTACACTAAACTGTTCATATAAATGGCATCTTATTTAAAGGGGGAAAAAAGTGTCACAGCTAACAAAGTGGTTGTTAAGAAAGGTACAGACTTTTTTTCTCTGCCATTGAACCAATGCAAACTACCTGTAAGAGACACTCAAGAGAATTAGTCGGTTGCTTGCACACAGTAGCAATTTGTTTTTTAACATTAGACAGGAGACTTGTAGGTCAGTATCTTCTGAAGTAGCTGATACAGCTGAAAAGCCAACAAAAATTTTGTACAAAGTCCCCTTCTTCAAACTAAGAAAGAAGGAATTGATTGGAGAGACCACTACCCTGATTTAGTACAATTCATGTCAGAATAATTGAAGACTTCGAAGAACAAGCATGTTGTCAGGTATCAAAAAAGGTAGGGCTTTGTTGTTTGGGTTTTTTTTTTCCAAACAACTGACAACACAAACACCCCTGAAAACTCAATGACCCTGACTTTTATACAGATAGGAATTTCAGATGCCAAGTTCCTCTTCTGAAGCGAAGGTAAGCAGCTAAATTGCTCATAATTGAGCATAAGTGTTCCATTCCAGGTACACTAAACTGTTCATATAAATGGCATCTTATTTAAAGGGGGAAAAAAGTGTCACAGCTAACAAAGTGGTTGTTAAGAAAGGTACAGACTTTTTTTTCTCGGGTTTATTGTATCAACACACTATCTAAGAAAACAGCAAAAAGTTTCAGCAACAGACTTGCATCAACGTCATGAAATGTTGATGAAACAAAAATCATTCTGAAAAACTCTATGTAGGAGAGAAGGAGAAAAGCAGAGCTTTCTTTACGTTTTAATAAAGTTTAACCATCCCAGGGGGCCCTTTGGCCCCTCTCTCATCTGGCAGGATTCATGAGCCACAAACTGCAGTACAGATCTGGATTTTGGAGACCCAGTCCCACATGCTATCAGTCCAATTTGGAATTGCTATGGAAAAAACCATTGGTTTTTGACAGATCTGACAGGGAAGGGGTTAAATGTACCAACATAAAGAAGCTGTAAATAGGCTGGGCATTTTTCACCTAGAATAACCTTCTAACTTGCTCTTAGGATACAGTAAGTCAGAGTACTGCTCAATTCCTACAGCTAGTCTTAAATACATGTGTACGTACACACACGGAAATTGTGACTAACAAAAAGGTTTTGGTGCATTTAATTTAAAAAAAAACAACTGTCATGAATTACAGGAAAGGCAGAAACTCAGTCTTCCTTGGTTTTTAAGCCATGATTGAACTGCTGATCTGCATTACTAATCACCATCTTTTATTGTTAAAGTACTTTTGAAACGTAATTTTTCCATTACTTACCTATTTGTCTTATTTTTCTATAGGAAGTGAAGCATTTCAATGATTACGAGAGTCAAGTACAACAGTCTGCAGTTTGAATAGCAAACCGCACCGGGGGACTGATCCCAGTTAAAAATATGCCTTTATCAACAAACTATTTTTATCCCAGACCTGTTCTTCATTCACTGTGTGGCCCCATAAGCAATGGTACAAACTCAAGTGAGCAGGCAGGAGGTGCTTAGTTCAGCACTGCTGGTGGAAGAAAAGGTTTTAATAGCTGCAGGGGTAAAAAATACCCTTGGATACACCGATTACTTCATCTACACTAACCTTAATATTTGAATGTACTTTCACACTATGCTCTCAGTTAAAAGTTGCCCATTAGTTGTAGCTTTTTGAACCAAGCATTTCAATACTTCAGGAAAATTCTGAACATTGGACGCATCTGCAGAACTGCACCCAGCAGAACATACTCATAGAGGAAATAAGCCCAAGCCCACATGAAAAATCCAACAACCACCAGAGGAACACAGATATCACCATACTGAATGAGTTTGTTTCTGTCCAAGCCAGAAGGATGGAGCTACTCTCTCCCAAGGGGAGCTCACTAGATACTTTAAGGCAAGAGAACAATGCAGCAAGTAGATGCTAATCAAATCTGATCCCTCATTAGGCCGCACCCACTCATTTCTGCAAGGAACAAACTGGTTTATGCTCTCAAATCAAAGCTATGGTGCAGGGGTAAAAAATACCCTTGGATACACTGATTACTTCATCTATGCTAACCATAATATTTGAACGTACTTTCCCACTATGCTCTCAGTTAAAAGCTGCCCATTAGTTGTTGCTTTATGAACCAAATATTTCAATAGTTCAGGAAAATTCTGAACATTGGACGCATCTGCAGAACTGCATCCAGCAGAACATACTCATAGAGGAAATAAACCCAAGCCCACATGAAAAATCCAACAACCACCAAAGGAACGCAGATATCACCATACTGAATGAGTTTGTTTCTGTCCAAGGCAGAAGGATGGAGCTACTCTCTCCCAAAGGGAGCTCACTAGATACTTGAAGGCAAGAGAACAATGCAGCAAGTAGATGCTAATCAAATCTGATCCCTCATTAGGCCGCACCCACTCATTTCTGCAAGGAACAAACTGGTTTATGCTCTCAAATCAAAGCTATGGCTTTGGATAAGTTTCTTCAGCAGCAAAGTCTAGTTTAGTAACCTGGCCCTTTTCCCTACCAGTCACTTGTTCCTCCTCTATTTTATTTTTCAGCCACATCAACTACAAAACCAGTACCTCAACATTTAACAGCAGACAGCACAGACTGATATATATAGGCTGGGACTGGGGGCCGTTCAACCCTGCTTCAGCACCACTGAAACATAATATGAAATCAGAAGACAAAGTTAAACACTTCTAACAAAATTAACATTGGCATTATATCCAGGATTATCTATGTATATAGGAAGAATAAAGCCATCCATTATTATTCTTAGACCTCAATGTTCCTGTGGCATAGTTGTTCAGTCTCTATTTAGTAAAAATCTTTGCTGTTACTGGTTTGTGATTTCAGCGCTTTAAAGTACCGATAATTGAAGAATGAGGCATGTTCATAGAAAAAAAGGAAGTCCATGCAGTGTATCAGTAGATCAGAAAGACAATCCAGGATCTTTAGAAAGCCTCTTCTGAATAGTAATTAGTGAAAGAAATGACTGCTAAGGTCAGCTAGAAGTGGCATTCTTCATGCAGCCTCAAAGCAGCCTGGAAACCCTTGAGGAGAGCACAGCCAGGGTCCTCTCCTTCCACCTCCCTTACTCAAGACCGGGTGCACCAAAACCAGTGGAGGGTTAATGGCTTACCTGAGTGACAAGCAGTGAAACAATCAGAGAGTTTCTGAAACATCACTGAATATTTAATACTATAATTTGTATGCAAGTCCTGTAAAATTAACCTATGTCTGCTTTATCAAGTTGGGTGCCATATTAAAGAATTTTATTATCTAATCCAAATGCAATGTGTTCCTCCACTGAGGAAATCATTGAGATTTGAGAGCTTAAAATGATAAACCGTCTGCAAAAATGTGGTAATAAACACAAGCTTCAAAATTTAACTTCCATTATGCGTCTCTACCTGATAATTATGCTAAAATAAAACTAAAATAAAAGCTAAAATAAACCTGTGGGAAACCAGATATTGATTTGTAATAAAATTCACTTTAATACCAATTAATTCACCTTATTGTATATTAAGTAAGGAATTATTATTACTTCTCCAGGATTTAATATGCACGGCATAATTGCATGCGACAAAGTGTTCTTTTGAGAACAAGACATGAAGAGGAGGCTCCGCAATCTCACATGGCACCAGGCTGCAGCAGAACTGAAGTCAGGAAATTTGGAGTCAATGTTATTTCTATGTGAGAGCAGATGTCACTTAGGCCTTAAGTTCCATAACAATTCCAACGGTATTTAGTTTTTAAGCTATATCCCACATGCATATAAAGAGAATGAATACTAAAAAACCCTATCTTGAAATTTAGCATGGTCCATACTTGACTATTGAAGCACGACAATCAGACTCTAGAGTAAACAGAAATGTATAACATCTACGGATAAAAATAATAGAACTGTTGGTATTGCTATCATTATTCAGAGCACCAAGCCCTGAGGAATATTTGCAGCTAATTTCAAAGGAAAGGTCAATCTTCCAAGCTAGACATTATCAACAAACTATTTTTATCCCAGACCTGTTCTTCATTCACTGTGTGGCCCCATAAGCAATGGTACAAACTCAAGTGAGCAGGCAGGAGGTGCTTAGTTCAGCACTGCTGGTGGAAGAAAAGGTTTTAATAGCTGCAGGGGTAAAAAATACCCTTGGATACACTGATTACTTCATCTATGCTAACCATAATATTTGAACGTATCAACATTTAATAGCAGACAGCACAGACTGATATATATATAGGCTGGGACTGGGGGCCGTTCCCTCAACATTTAACAGCAGACAGCACAGACTGATATATATAGGCTGGGACTGGGGGCCGTTCAACCCTGCTTCAGCACCACTGAAACATAATATGAAATCAGAAGACAAAGTTAAACACTTCTAACAAAATTAACATTGGCATTATATCCAGGATTATCCATGTAAATAGGAAGAATAAAGCCATCCAGTAGCATTCTTAGACCTCAGTGTTCCTGTGGCATAGTTGTTCAGTCCCTATTTAGTAAAAATCTTTGCTGTTACTGGTTTGTGATTTCAGCACTTTAAAGTACCTATAATTGAAGAATGAGGCGTCTTCATAGAAAAAAAGGAAGTCCATGCAGTGTATCAGTAGATCAGAAAGACAATCCAGGATCTTTAGAAAGCCTCTTCTGAATAGTAATTAGTGAAAGAAATGACTGCTAAGGTCAGCTAGAAGTGGCATTCTTCATGCAGCCTCAAAGCAGCCTGGAAACCCTTGAGGAGAGCACAGCCAGGGTCCTCTCCTTCCACCTCCCTTACTCAAGACCGGGTGCACCAAAACCAGTGGAGGGTTAATGGCTCACCTGAGTGACAAGCAGTGAAACAATCAGAGAGTTTCTGAAACATCACTGAATATTTAATACTATAATTTGTATGCAAGTCCTGTAAAATTAACCTATGTCTGCTTTATCAAGTTGGGTGCCATATTAAAGAATTTTATTATCTAATCCAAATGCAATGTGTTCCTCCACTGAGGAAATCATTGAGATTTGAGAGCTTAAAATGATAAACCGTCTGCAAAAATGTGGTAATAAACACAAGCTTCAAAATTTAACTTCCATTATGCGTCTCTACCTGATAATTATGCTAAAATAAAACTAAAATAAAAGCTAAAATAAACCTGTGGGAAACCAGATATTGATTTGTAATAAAATTCACTTTAATACCAATTAATTCACCTTATTGTATATTAAGTAAGGAATTATTATTACTTCTCCAGGATTTAATATGCACGGCATAATTGCATGCGACAAAGTGTTCTTTTGAGAACAAGACATGAAGAGGAGGCTCCGCAATCTCACATGGCACCAGGCTGCAGCAGAACTGAAGTCAGGAAATTTGGAGTCAATGTTATTTCTATGTGAGAGCAGATGTCACTTAGGCCTTAAGTTCCATAACAATTCCAACGGTATTTAGTTTTTAAGCTATATCCCACATGCATATAAAGAGAATGAATACTAAAAAACCCTATCTTGAAATTTAGCATGGTCCATACTTGACTATTGAAGCACGACAATCAGACTCTAGAGTAAACAGAAATGTATAACATCTACGGATAAAAATAATAGAACTGTTGGTATTGCTATCATTATTCAGAGCACCAAGCCCTGAGGAATATTTGCAGCTAATTTCAAAGGAAAGGTCAATCTTCCAAGCTAGACATCACATTGTTATTAAAAACAAATAAATCAAACCTGAAAAAGCAAAAAAATCTGTACACACAGGAATACAGACGTTGGGAGACTGGACAGAAAATGAAATATTATTAGAGGCAAGGAGTGGGAGTAATGTAACCTTTACACAATCTTTTTCAGCTGTAGAATGAAGTCTTGAAACACTTCAGCACAAAACTGAAAGCCTTTTCTCTATCTAAAAACTCTGTTCTATCAAAAAAAGAGACCTAAGTATTAGTTTGAAGACTGACAGTTTATACCTAAAAATTTTGAATAAATGTTAAAAATTATTATATGGAAGACAGAAGCACTTGGTTTGCCAGTAATTTACAAACACTCTCATAGTATAAATAGAATTCAAATGCTGAGGCTTTCTTAGATACTTAAATCCTAACTGCAAGGAGTAACTCACTTCCCCCCTCCTCCAGTATCTCCCTGCCTATCAGCAAGATTTCCAATGAACAGGAAATAAAATATGCTTTATGATGCAGATCTAAGCAATAGTGCAGTTTAAGGAAAAAAAAAAAACCCACAACACTTTTCTAGCATACATTTTCCTATTTGAGGTCTTCCACATCTAAAACAAAAATTAAAACCTTTTCAAATTAAGGGAGATAAAAACAAAGGCTTGGGATGTTGCCATCAGTATTCATCTTCCATGGACATCCTGACACCGATGTGAGGAAGGACTTACCATAAGTGTCTAATGGAACTAACCCATGCAGAAAAAAAAAATATTTTCAGAAACAGTTTTAAAACTTGGGGTTTTGACTTCGGGTTAGAAAACAGCAGTCATCAAAACTGTGTAAAGTACTGACTTGCACAGTTTACTTTATGTTACCAGTGGCAGGGTACCTTACAACTTCAAAAAACTAATTTCCAGCATTCCCATTATACACTTTCATCATCCCACAAGATTCACATTTTTACAGTCTGTTATATTCACATTTGTAGCACTACAAATATGTATTTTCACTGTTCGCCTTTGGTGGACTCGCTTTTATGCCTTCAGGAATTCATTTGGCTTGAAGTAGCCCAGCATCAGAACTTCAAAAACAGACTGAAAAGACTGAGTGGGAAAAAAAAAAAAAAAAAAAAAAAACTTTCCTTGCCATTTTCTCACTGCATTTGTTGTTTCCATGAGATTTTCCATCACTGCAAATTCTTCCAGGAAAGATAAGATTAATTCTTGTATAAAAAACAAGAAAAATTGCTTGCAGTTTTCAAGCAAAAGCAAAGAAAATGTGTATAGGCATACAAATATATGCATATGTATGCATGTATCACCTGCTGTAGATATACATATACCATTAAGACATATTAATAGAACTTAAGACTGCAGCAGCCAAAGATATAAGCAAACAACATACACGGATAGGCTTTTCTGTCAACTGGAAACCTTTGTTTTCTTACTCACCTCTTCAAAATCCTCACTGACCCACAAGGGGATGGGTGTTCCCCAGTACCGGTTTCTAGATATAGCCCAATCTCGTGCATCTTTAAGCCAGTTCCCAAAACGCTTCTCCCTCACAAAATCTGGAACCCTGTTCAGAAAATAAGAAAAGTATTCTTTTATCACTACATTCCACTTCAAAGAAAGCTGGTAAGAATGGTTATATTTTATTTCATCCACAAAACAAGTTGATTTCAGCGCTCTGCATGAACTGGAGCACTGAATATTGCAGCACTGGCTATTGCAAGGCCTATAGACTTGCTGCCAAAGATGTAACACCACTTCTTCTGCCTTTCTTTGATCTTCAAGTAAGCTGTAGAAGTGAAAAATACCATGTTTATTTTACTCTAAAATAACTCAGTAAAAATGTGTGCAACATACAATAGATTCATTAAGGATGTTCAAAAATCCTCAGGACAATCCAACGTGGGAGGATTATGGCTAAGGGGGGGTAACAACACTGCTGTTTTATTTTACATACAGAAAAAAAGTACCAATTACCCATTTTGGTGCTGAATTAAATTATGAAGTTTGAAAAGGCTGGAGTAATAGCATTAAAAGGCACCTTGCATTATGCATGTGCATCCAGGTAACTCCACATTACCTTTAAGCTTGGAGAGTAACAAAATCCCAGGTTAATATATCCTACAAAAAAGCCTTTTCACACTATTTATCGTTTCCATTTTTAATTCTCCAATTGAAAAACAAAAACACCATCCCCGCCAAAACCAGAAACGTACCAGTGCTTGCTAAAAGCTCATTTTTAGTGCTAATGTGCTCTGAGGGATGTTAAAGACAAATTTTTAACATATGAAAGTGTCTTGGAGCTCGCAGGTTACCATCAGGATCTGATGCCTAGGCAGGTTTCCTGGCCATGCTAAATGGACTGATGGTTTGATTAGGAACCAATTGTTTTCTCTTGTGATGTAACCAAATAATTAACAATGATATACAATGATTATATAGCAAATAAGGAAAAACAGTGGGGTTTGAGGCCAACAATACACCCCCTTCAAGCCCAAAAGTGCATTTAAGAAGACCAACCTCAACTGAAACTCAGAGGAAGAAAAACCTTAAGACAGTGTAACAGATGCACAGAAGCTGTAAATGAACAGCCAACAATAATGCAAATAACTCTAGAATTATCGAATAAACCATGGCAAGTTTTTCTGGGTTCATTTCTCCAGTGTAACTAGAAGGTCCCTTCCCAAAGCATGAGCTGGATTTAGAGACCCAGAGTTTCTAAAGAAAGAAACAGCCAAACTACAGAAAACATATGTCCTCTTCTATCTTTTCTTTTTGAAGCTTTTGGTCCTCAATCAAACATTTTTTTGAAGAAGAGCGGTTTTTAATCACAGATTAGCCCCAAGAGTAACAAAAAAGAAAGAATCCTTAAAGGACAAAATGAAAGAATGGATTCACATGACACACTAAGGTAGGATTTGGCCCAGCAGCAGGAGATTGATGAAATAAGTGTGAGCATCCCTCAAAAATCTACTCATGAAAATGAAAGCAACTGTCTTTTAGAAGTTTTACCCATGGTGATATCATGTGGAGATCTGAAGACTTCTTGATGCCAAAGTTGTCATATAAAAGCTACCATTAAAAGACTTACTAAATACCAGCCTTAAGTTTCACAGCTTCACTAGTCATTTCTAGATTTACTTTTGGCCGCAAAGTATCTCCTGTAACATTTCTTCAACAAAAATGTAATATAAAAAGTTTTTAAACAAACTCAGTGACTAACGTTTCACATGACATCCATACCCCTGCTTTGAAATTTAGAAACGTACCCAGGCTTTCACAATTTGTTTTAGAGTGAGACTCATTACTATTAACTTTTTGTGGTGACCTTAAGAGACCCTCTCTCCCAACACAAGTGGAAACTCTATGAGGATCATTAGCATTTGCCTAACATTCCACTAATGTGGAAAACTTCTCTTTACATCACTCCTAAACTAGTTTCCATTTTTCAGAAGTTGTTAGACACTGATTAGCTGAAATTATTAGTCCCATTTAACATAGCTAGAGGCTGAAACAATCCCCCAATGACATTAAAATGCTAAGAGTTTCAACTCTGCCTCCTCAAAACATGCATGAAAAATTAATTTTATCCCCAAAGTGGACATTAACCACAAAAATGTATGTGGTGTGATCTCTCTCTCTGAGCTGTGAAAGCGTATAATTTACCTCTTCTGGTAAAATTGTCTGACCCTGCTGCCAGTTTTCAGTGGAACATAAAACACAAACCACTTCATCTACTATGAACCACATTTGCAACGATGATCTGTGGCATTTCAGAGGTACAACACAAAACTAACACTGACACAGCCATCAAATAAAACGAAAAGAGCTTGTATCTTAAACATATTTTGAGCCCATCACTCACAGAGAGCGTTACTTAAAACAATTGGTTCTTACCACCACACAGATGCTGCCCAAACCTGTCACCCAGAGACTGAACCAGCCTCCAACTGGGACCAGGCCCGAGCAGGGATCTGCAGCAAAGAACAGCCTCTCCTGTCACCCGCTTCTCCAAGACTACAGCCTGTTCCTTCTATTTAGTCTCACTAGATTTAGCTACAGATATCTCAGTCTGACACTTCTGACTTACCTCGGTATCATAAGAAAAAAAAAAATTAAAAAAAAAATATATTGAGAGGCACCTTCTATTTCAATATTTCACTAGGCTGGGAAGACAGAACAGAGTATTCTCAACAATGTTGTTACTAACTCCTGATCATTACGTTACACCAACTCCAGGTTACTGTTTCTACAGAGTTTTTTTCCATTTCTTTTAATCCTCTTCTCTTAGATATTTTCTTGGTATACTTCTCTTGCTAAATTTTAATAAAGATAACATGCTGCCCCAGGTATATATTACTAGTTAAGGAAGCATTTTTTACTCTCCCATCTACACAAAGCAATTATTTCTTAAATTTGCAGAAAGATCATTTGTTTTTCTCAACTAAGGAGACTGAGGGCAGCCTGAGGAATGCCACCCTCCGATGAATTCTGCTCCCTTCTCCCATGCAATAATTGAAGAGACATGGCCTCCCCCTGAGATTGATGAATTCTGCTCCCTTTTCTCCCATGCAGTAATTGAAGAGACATGGCCTCCCCCTGAGATTATACTATTCAGTGTTTAATCTATCAGCCCACAGTCCTCCTCATAATTCCCAGTTAATTTTTCCATCCTATTCCCAAGTACATTGCAAACAGAATTGTGACTTTGGTAAGACTATGATAAAACCATGAATCACTTCAGGACATTTTGGGGTGTGTTAAACACCTATTACCTATACAAAAGCTGAAATAGTCCCCTGAAAGTGAATGGAGTTAACGGCAGCACAATTTGCCAAGGAACAAACACTGATCCCTGTGCATCAAAACTATCATAGAATCATTCAGGTTGGAGGAGACCCTATTCCCAAGTACATTGCAAACAGAATTGTGACTTTGGTAAGACTATGATAAAACCATGAATCACTTCAGGACATTTTGGGGTGTGTTAAACACCTATTACCTATGTATTCCCAAATTCATTGCCAACAGAATTGTGACTTTGGTAAGACCGCGATAAAACCATGAATCACTACTGATGCTGGTCCTCAGCTTTCAGGACGTTTTGGGGTGTGTTAAACACCTATTACCTAAACCCAAAAGCTGAAATAGTCCTCTAAAAGTGAATGGAGTTAACGGCAGTACAATTTGCCAAAGTACAAACACTGATCCTTGTCCATCAAAACTGTCCTCACAGCATGGATACTTAGAAGCTTTGAAAAGAATAAAAAGACAAAAAGAAGGCAAGGCCACCCACATAAATATTCCTGTTTTACAACACAGACATATGAAAAAAAAGCCCTTTCCCATATGCTAACATATACGGTTTTCACATTTAACCAGGTATCAGTCACAAACCCCCTTCAGCTTGAAAGCACAAATTCATAGTGCCCTTTCCCATATGCTAACACACACAGTTTTCACATTTAACCAGGTATCGGTCACAAACCCCCTTCAGCTTGAAAGCACAAATTCATAGTGGTGACTGCACGGGATTCACAGCGGGGTGTGACTGGGAAGGTGAGCGGTGCCACAGACCGTTCAGAGTGACCCACTGCTAATCTGCACCAAACAGAGTCCCAGCTCAGAAAAGGTCAAGCTCCAGCATCACATAGTTTCACGAGTTTGCAACTGAAGTCAAAGAAGGGACTTCTCTCCCAGTCCAATCCTGCTGCAGCTCCTAAAACGAGGCTGTTAGAAATAGGATGGTTGGTTGGGTTTTTTTTATTTATTTCCCAACTGGTCGACAATTTGTATTGTGTTTGACCTTCAAATTTCTCTGCAAATGACACAGATAGGACTTCTAACTTCTCTCTCAGACATTTAGCAAGGTTAAGGAGATTGCTGTCTCAGCAGGTCGTGAAGCTCTTGATTCATGCCTGTACAATAGTGTGGGGTAATAGCTACTTCTACTTGCTTGGCTCCCAGGAGAGTGCACTAAATAAACTTCAGGATGCAGACATTTCAGCAGCTGAAAAGTTCAGGGAACTGAAATCCACAACACAAAGGAATAAATATTGATTTGTCAAATCATGAATGAGAAAGATTTTGAATGAAATTCTAGTTTCAACCTGCTTGAATGCTAATTTCTATCTTACTGACCCAACATAAAAACTCTATCTTAACACTTTAGAGAGTATGAAAATTATTAATGTGCTCCAAATTTATATGTCCATTCTGACTGTTAGTTCCTATTTTTGAAGCAAAGTTGGGGTTTTGCTAAATTCATGCATCACTAAGTCCTCTGCACAGTGAACTCCCACTTGCTTTCTTGGTAGCTACTCATTTTCCTAGTGTCTAAAATAAAAACCCTGTTTGACAAGCAAAAAAACCCATGATGAGCAAAACAAAATCCAGTCATTTAACAACATTTATTAGCTTATCACAACAGAAAACATTTTCTTTGCCTTCAGAGTCTATGTACTACCCATGCAAGTCACACAAGCAAAGTGGGTATGGATTTGAAAACAGCAAATTAGGGACCATCTGCAATCCCAGAGCATGTATGGGTGTGCTAAGAGGAGACCA